CGATCGCGGATCCACTGATTGTACAGCTGCTCGGGGGCTCGTCCATCACCAACTGCAAGCAGGTGGCCTTATCCCTGTGCCACCCCGTGATCTGGAGCAGCCTGGTCCCCCCACGGCTCGCCTTCCAGAAGCCCTTGCAAAATCTGCACATATAGCCCCCCGTGGTCTTGAACTTTTCCTTGCTCACCACTTCCCAGGCACTGATGCTTGGCAAGACCAAGCCACACTCCACAGCCCCAAAACACATGCTTCGCCTCCTTGGGGAAGTTTGTACTTTTGGCCCGCAACCGCCGTGACCGTGGCCGTGGTGATGGGCGGTACCGGTACCCGCCTGGTGCCCTGGTCTGGGGTGCGGAGCGTGGTGTCTGCCCCCCCCACAACCTTGGCCTTTGGGTCCGCCTCCTTGGCCGCTCCCCCCCGGGGCCAACGGCACCCAAGGGGGGGGAGCAACCCAGCTGCCGGATGAGGTCCTGGGAGTAGCCCAACCTGTCACACAAGGCTCCCGCCGCCTCCTGCGGGACCTGCTCGACCCAGTCGTAAACCACATTGCAGCGCCAATTGACCTTCACCTCCACCATCGACGTCTTGCTCAGGCCCGCCACCAACTTGGTGTAGACCGAGTCGAAGGCCTTCAGCGAGGCCAGCGGGAGGGTGATCCGTTCGTCGCAAATTGCCCTGAACCGCAGCGCCTCCTTACTGTCATGGATGGGGGCCACCGGCATCTCCATCACGGGCAACGGGCAGTTCACGATGAAATTCTTTGCCGCCAAGAATGTCCCCATCTCCTTGAAGATGTAACTCCACTCCTCCTTGCTGCGCGGCTTGGGGATGCCCAGGCTCTCCAGGAAGGGCACCGCCTCCTTCCTCATCTGGATAATGTTGCCCATCCACTTGTCCGAGGGCGAGCCCTCCGCATTGCGGCCCCGGCGTTGCGTCTTCACAATCAACGGGAAGGTGGTCCAGGCCGAGTAGATATACTTAAATGTGAATTTGTGGGCGTACACTCCCGTCAGGCTCGGCAGGTCCCACGTTCTCGTCTGTCTGGTCCAAAACACCCCATCACCCTTCGCCCAGAAGATACCAACCACCTGCTCCGGTGCCGGGCGCTCGCCCCGGTTCACCTGAGCTCGGATCTCCAAGGCCGTGTAGATGACTGGGTCGATGTGGTCCTGCTCGCACGTGAATGGGTGAGTCCTGCGCTCAAGGGCCAGGAGCTCCTCCGGCGCGAGCTTAAACTGCTGGTCAGCGCCCCGGGGGATCTCACCGCTTGCGTGCTTCTTCCAAACCCCCCCAAACATCCGGAGCTCTCCCTGGTGCCGCTTCATTGCCCAGAGGATAAGGGACAGCTTGCCGTCTTGCTGGGACATGGGGCAACTCTTCCAGCAGTGCCTCCTGGTGCCACGGGTTCTGCGACGCTCTGAGCATCTTGATGTAGGGGACATACTTCTCCTTGATGTCCCCCACCGGGGGGATGTCGTCGGGGTCATCCAGCTCCAGGGGGCAGAATAGGCCCCTCTCCAGGGCCTTCCTGAGATCATCCGGCCACACTTCCAAGGGCTTGAGAGTGTGGTTGAGCATCCATGCCTGGTTGGTGTGCTGCCTCTGGCCACCCCGTTCCGCATGCCTTGCACATGAACTTGTAGTCGGAATGACCTGCGTCGAGCCTGTACATGCGCTGGGTGCCGATACACGCCTTGTTCCTCTGGAACTGCGAAGCCCAGACCTCCTCCTGGCGGAGCTGGATCTTCATCGGGACGTACGCCTCCAAGATGCGGATCACCAGGTCCTCCGTGAGGTTCTTCCCAACAAACTTGTAAACAGGGAGACCGCCTCCTCCACCGTGATGTCTCTCAGCAAGGTGGCCGCCGACGCTGGAAGGACTGGAAACAGGTCTGGGAGGTCCACCAGCTTGAAGTACCCGGGTTTTCCGTCCACCGGCACCAAGGTGACAGGTCTCTTCGTGGGTGGCGTCTGCGCCTCCTCCGGTGGTGTGGCCCGCTCCGTGCCGTCCGCATCCCCCATGTCCTTGTCGCCCTCCTCGGCGGGGCCAGGGGCACCCAAGCCGGGAGTCGGTGTGGCAAATGCCACTCGGAGACGCTCCAGTGCACTGGAGAGGTCCTTCATCACATCGGTCGCCGAAGCTGACGGGGGGCCTCGGGCTCGTCCAAAACCAAGCCGGCCGCCACTGCCGCCTCCCGTGTGCGAATGTCCTGGGCCTCCTGGCTGGCCATTTCAACCTCCTCCACGGTGAGTGTCTGGTCCTCAATCAACTCAAAGGAAGTTGCCGAGGTTGCCGAGGAAGCCATTGCTTGGTCGGGGTTAAGTTCGAAAATGCAAAAGATCAAAGTTTTTCAATCAGCTTGGGTTCCAGGAACCCAGAACAATGCTTGAGCCAAAATGGCACATGCCATTGTGGTCAAGCATTCCACACACAGTTCATGTTTCCACATGCGTTTCAACATTAACAAATCAATTGGACACTGACATCCAGCAATACTAAATCAAACAATGGGAGCTCAAATCAAACTCACAAGGAAGCTCCAGCAATGCTCAATCAAATGGACACCGAAATCCAGCAATACTAAATCAAACAACTGGAAGCTCAAATCAAATTCGAAGGAAGATCCAGCAATAGTACATCCAACGGAAGCTCAAATCCAGCAACACTAAATCAAAGAAATGGGAGCGCAACACAAATTCAAAGGAAGCTCAGCATAACTAAGCCAAATGGAAACTCAAATCCAGCAAGACTAAATCAAAGATATGGAAGCGCAGCAATATTGAATCAAATGGAAACTCAAATTCAACAATACTAAATCAACTAAATGGCAGCTCAGATCAAATTCGACAGGAAGCTCCAGCAATACTACATCAAATGGAAACTCAAATCCAGCAACGCTAAAAGAAGCTCAAACTAAATTCAAGCTAGTACAACGTCAAATAAACGCATGTCCATTTTTGCCACTACTCTGGCGCACCCATTGTTCAGGGAAGGCCCTTTATTACTCAAGTCCCAACATTATGACAGATGGTCTTCCAGCAGCGCCTATGTTGAAATTTCGGCGATATAGCCACCACTTGCTTGCCAATGCTCCGTTACCCGCCGAGCGTGCCTCACAAGGCATTGCTGACTTCACGCATTGCTGCAGTAGGCTTCTCAAGGTATGGCGCAAGGACGATTCGCTCGCCGATTGCTCGTCGACCGGCAGGCAGCGCTCGGAAACCAAATCCCACAAGCGCGGCTCCGTCCGCACCTGCGAACGCTATTCCAGTGGCGGCCACCGTCAGGCATGACTCGGAGACCAAATCCCGGCACAAATCACAAATCCCACCGGCACGGCCACCGTCGGGCAACGCTCGGAGACCAAATCCGCACCTGGCGACTGCTCCCATCGCGGAAGGCTCCGACTAAACGAGAACCCATCGCATCAGAGATGCTTTTGGGAAGAAGGCATTCGTGGCGACTCACGCGTTGCCGTTTGCTGGCCACTCGCTCACTGGAACCAATCTGTTTCATACGCGCTTCTCGCGGCATTCCAACCAGTAGTCAGTGATCCAAGAGGCGGAAAGGGCCGAGCCTGACGCCCAAGGAGCTCAGTCGTTTTGGTGACTACACGTATGCCCCAGTGAAGCCGGGTGACGGAAGCTTCTGAAGGGGTAATGCGCCTACAGGAGGAGAAGTGTTTGGACCAACGGGAACACTTTCACTGCGGAAAGCTCGCAATCCCTTTTTGGCGAGAACGTGATTGGTGACAAGCAAAATGCAAACAGCAACCCACACAGTTGGCAACAATTGCTTTACCCTCTTGTCGCCTGTTCTGAGCCCCGGATCCCATCCAGCTGCTTCAGTCTTCTTCTTGCTCTGCTGCAACCCAGGCGCTGGCATGCGCTGCGAACGGCCTGAATTGGCGCGCTAACTACCTTGCTCTGGCGCTCGCGCTTGCACAGCGCGCTGGCACCTTGCACTGCTTTTCTTTGCACTGTCGCGCTGCACGCTCGTTTCCTAACTCGACGGGTGAACTGGCGCATCAGTCGCCGGAGTTGAGGCGATGGGTGATGCTGGGTGAGGCCAGCTCTTGCCGAAAACGCTTGGTTTGCAAGTTTGCAAGGATCGTCAAGTTGGCTCGGGCAAGGTCGATTCGCTTTGGTTGCAAGTTGGGATCCCGGTGAGCGGCTCGGCGATGCGCTTGGCATAGATCGGGGCATTGCACTTGGCCGCCCCCGTTGCTTCCTCTCGCCGTGAAGAAACGGCTGGTGTTAGTCTTAGTCTCCATGCAAGTTGCCATTTTGGGTTCCATTTTTGGAGCCACAGCCCCCATCTGTCGTGGATATGATTCACATGAGCGGACGGGATATACCGCGCCAAAATTGAGTAGGCGCCAATTTGGGTGCTTGGGGCTTTTGCTTGCAACGAATTCACAGAATTCGGAGCCAGCACGCACCCCCCCACTGAAGCTTGTAGGGGAACGGCACTTGGGCAAGCTAGCGCAATACATGTCGGAAAGCTTTATTCGCATGCTCCTGAGCGACAAGGCGCGCGCTGCGACTGTCTGAATGAGGTTTTGAAACTCTCCATCAGATCATCACGCGGCGCGGCACAGAGTGACCCATGATGAAAGCCGCGCAGAGATAGAGCACGATGGCTTTGATCTATGAAATGTAGGAAGTCGTGTTCGATCTGAAACGCTCGAGGCAACATGAGGCGGCAGTCCCCAGGCCCGAATGCTTGGTTGTTAGAAGCCCCAGTCACATTGTGCGCTTCTATTGAGAACAACCCCAAGGGCAATAGGGGCTACATATGTACTAACATGCAATTGGAGTGCAAATGTTTGTTCGACCCAAGCTGACGGTAAGCTTGAGGGTGCTGAATGTCGGCGGCGGGTCACCGATCGGGGAAAACCAGAACACCATCTTTGCAAAGTTGATAGCTGCTAGTCCCTGAGCTGGTGAGAAATTCCGAAATCCTTACCTAGGCCTTTCTCCGACACTGCGGGCCGGGCAAGTTCTCCAGCATCTGCTTCACCTTGGCAAAGGAAAACGCGAGCCAAAAGTTGCAGAGCACCCGGCCTTGGCTCCCAAATCTGCCAGGGGGTTGATCAGGGCGCTCGCCTTGAGTTGAAAATACAGCCAAGCGCCAAAGGTTGGCTGCTTTCTCTGAGGTCACTTTCAGAAAGCAGTTGGGGGCCAACCACATGCGCATTCAAGTCGTTGAGCAAAGTGATGGCGCACGTGCAAAGTAAGCCGCATGAGACACACCGTAGACTTACACGGCAGAGGGGCCCAACAGCTCTCCCACGAGCATTGCTTCGGGAAAGGTACGATGCCAAGTCAGCCAAAAAGGTGTCATGGCACAAACTGAGATTCGAGTTGACAGACCCCTCGCTTGGCGCTTCACTCTTCTCTTCTCGCCATCCTTCTTCTTCTCACCTGGCAAGTTGCAAAGCAACACCACTTGATCCGAATCCATGGCCTTTGAGGGTTCCAGTGTTGCCCTGCAGCAGCAACCATCGCTGCAACGTGTGGTTGGCCTTGGCACATCCCGCAACTGGGTGCTGGGTGTGTATCCATCCCCAAACAGGGGCTCCATGAAAACGGCAGAATCAGCGCAACCTCTAAAAAAAAGGACACCCTCACTCAAATCTGCTGAATCCATCGTGACAAATCTCGGATGGCCACCCGATTGATGCGCAGCATTTGCTCGGCATGGACGGGCAGACCTGCAAAAACGACATAATTTTAGTTGTGTTAGGTTGGCTTTGCTTGGGAAGCACGGTGGCAAAAATGCAGCTTGGCAAAAGGTATTCCATAGGCATGGCGTGAAGCCAACCGCAAGCGAGGCCAAAGCCCACCCAGGTTGGGCTTCCTTTGGCAGGCAGGTTGTCAATCCTCGGCCGGAATGTTTAGCGCTGGGAGGGACGGAGGTGGTGGGCATGGATTGGCAGGAAGCAAATCTCTGATATGCTCTCTCTACTCAGTTTGAGATCTTGGCCACTCCAAGAACTGCTCCCGTTTGCGTCCATCAGGTGAGCTCAAGCAATGCTCCTAGCTCAAATTGCATTTCCTGAACCTGTTTGGACGTGTCGCTTCTTTTTTCATGGTTCATTTGGAAACCCGGCCTTCGAGGACTCCATGTTCAAGTTGAAATCTCTTTCAAAGGACCTGAAGCATCCAGTATCACGGCAAAGCGAGGGGGGTTGTAGCATGCATGAGACACCAACTCTGCTCGGAATAAGTGATTGATGAAGGCCTGAGCAGTTAGAAAATGCGGACAGTGACAAGTTATTGCCCAAACCGCACAGGTAACGTCTCACCTTCAAGACCGCATGGTCGAACTCGTTGTCTACCCGACCTCCGTAGATCGACTCGCCTGAGCACCAAACTTTGTTGAGCTGAACTGCGATATATATATATATACATATATATATATACATATTATATATATATAATATAACACTGACCCCCAGATTCCCCTGTTTTGTTTTGTTCGAGTGCGCAGGCGGTATAGTTGGGCAAATGCCAAAGTTGGCAAAGTTCCCAATGATTTCCCTGTGAGATCAGTGAGATTCCTTGCATTTCGCTGAGATTTCCCGCAGGATGCGGTTGGGATTGCATCAAGCTTTCTGGCTTTCCCAAGTCCACTCTTTGTGCTGTTTCAATGAGATGCCGACCCCCGAGAGAGCCAAATACAGGATTGACAGGGTCTTCATCGAATTCAAGTTTGCTCTTGTCTGGAATCTTCGTGGGTGCATTTCTTCTTTTCGCAAAGCTCAACGTATCGGCTGGCACTTGCCGATGCAAGCCTGCGAACCCCCCCTTCTACTTCACCCCCTCCCCCAAATAAGTAACTTAAGTAGCTCATGAGATAAACGGTGCATGTCATACGTTTCAGCTTTCAGAACGGCTTCCCAAACTCCCAAACTGCTTCGGCTGCGGCACTCAAAATGGAACGAAGTGCGTCCCATGGAATTTTGTCCTGGCGGTTTGCACAATGACCAGGGCTTTGTGGAACGCAAGGCAGCTAAGGCTGAGTCTGGGCTGATGTTTGAAAGCTGTCCCTGGTTGGACACACTGTCCTGCACAATTCGGACACGCATCAAGATTTGGACATGGACGACCTCTGAACATTTCCCTGTTAGCTGTGGTTGCCCCTGACAAAGCCGGCACGGCAAACGACGTGGCAGGGGTAGAAGGGCAAGCAAAACGACGTGTTGGAACCTTAATCTCATCCCGAAGCAAGCGCTTGGCTCCGCACCACCCAGGCATCGATGATGTCTCTTCCTCGATAACTAGCCGACGACTCACGCCAGCGCTGTGCAGATCTTGTCATGAGCCCACGGCCGCACATCTGATCGGCATCGCTAAACTCATACTTCTTGCTCCAGCCTTTAGCATGTCGGAGCAAGGGGGCAGTTGCCGAGCGTGCCATGCCTACTGGGAAGAAGCGCAGGCGCTCCAGGACGATTGCATGAAGGAAGGCCAACAGAAAATGCAGCCTGAAACGCGGGCAACACTTCACACGTCTCGAGTGAAATGACTCGAGTCGCACGTCACGCCTGCACCTTTCCACGGGCTGACGATCAGTTCTGTCCGGTGGCAGGACTTGTGCGAAGGATCTCCGCAAGGATGCCCGAACCTCACCCGTCTCAATACCCTCCAATGCCCCAAGGATTCTGCACGCATTCCACATTCGAGCATATTCCGAGTGTTGGCTGGGGTCACTGACTCCAGATGGTGGCTCAAAGACATAGACTCGGGAGAGGCGGATCAAATTCGCAGGAATCCTCGAGCAGTGCAGGATGGCGACATGATCCAACAGGTGCTCTCTCCTTGGGTTAAACTCCATGGTCAGGAATAGCCGGAAGTTCTGCTGCGGGTGCATGCTGTAGAGCTTCTTTTCCTAGGAAAGACAATATGATCGCGGCATTGATCGACGTGCCACACGTACGTCTGTAAAAGACGTTCTGGCAAACGGATCAAAGCACAAGCACCGCGCGAGCTCTGTGAGCCAGTTGATGGCCAAGTGCACATTCCTTGGTGGGACACGTGAGCTCAAGAAGCAAAACTCAGCTTGGAAACACATCGAGTAGCTTGAGCAGCACCCAAGTTCCAGCATTGGACGCGGCTCTGATGGCCTGAGCAGAAATCACCAAGGCCATACTCAGAAGTATAGTATCATCGAAGGAAGTTTAGTAAGAAAACTTCCGTAATACAAAAAGTTGAATCACAAGATCCGGACGCACTTAGAAGTGAAGTCAGCAAGAAAAATCGCGAAGGGTACCTCTGTTCTGCGTGCGGTCTCGCCACGGTCTCGCCACGGGTTCGCCATGGGGGTGGAATGTTGCCCGCTGTAATGCTCGTGCAAACGTTTTCGGAGGTCCATTTTGCGTGGCAGGCGCAGCACTTTGGCAACCTAAGGTACAGATTTCGTGGCAGGCACAGCATTTTGTGCCCGTGCAAGGTCAAGTACAACTTTCGTGGCAGGCGCAGGCAGCACGTTCAGATATAGATGGATAGATAGATCAAATGGGAAGAGAGAGAGAGAGAGAGAGAGAGAGACAAATGTCCATTTTGCGTGGCAGGCGCAGCGCGCTTTGGCAGCCGCGGTGGAAATCGCATGGCAGGCGCAGCATTTTGTGCCCGTGCAAGGTCAAGTGCAAATTGTGTGGCAGGCGCAGCACGTTCGCAAGGTCGAGTACAGATTTTGTGGCAGGCGCAGCATTTTGTGCCCGTGCAAGGTCAAGTACAAATTTCGTGGCAGGCGCAGCACGTTCGCAAGCTCGAGTACAGATTTCGTGGCAGGCGCAGCACTTTCGCAAGGTCAGGTGATAGATAGATAGATAGATAGATAGATAGATAGATAGATAGATAGATAGATAGATAGATAGATACTTACATAGATAGATCAAATGGAAAGAGGGAGAGAGAGAGAGAAAGAGACATAGAAAGAGAAAGAAAGAAAGAAATTCAGAAAGAAAGAAGAAATAAAAGGAAAGAAAGAAAGAAAATGAAGAAAGAATAAATAAAGAGAAAGAAAGAAAGAAAGAGAGAAAGAGAAGGTCAGGTGATAGATAGATAAATAGATAGATCAAATGGAAGGAGAGAGAGAGAAAGAGAAAGAGAAAGAGAAAGAAAGAAAGAAATTCAGAAAGAAAGAAGCAATAAAAAGAAAGAAAGAAAAAGAAGTAAAAAGAGAAAGAAAGGAAAAAAGAAAGAATAAATAAAGAGAAAGAAAGAAAGAGAGAAAGAGAAAAAAAAGAAAGAAATCCGAAAGAGAGAAGAAACAAAGAATAAATACATAAAAAGATAGAAAGAACAAATAAATACAAAGAAAGAAAGAAAGAAAGAAAGGAAAGAGAAATGGAAAAAGAGAAAGAGCAAGAGAAAGAAAGAAAGAAAGAAAGAAAGAAATAAGGGAAAATAGAAAGATAGAGGGAAGAAATATGAGAAAGAAAGAAAGAAAGAAAGAAAGAAAGAAAGAAAGAAACGAAAGAAAAAAAGAAAGAAAGAAAGAAAGCAAGAATAAATAATGAAAGAAAGAGAGAAAGGTAAAGAGAAAGAAAGACATAAATTCAGAAAGAACAGAAGAACTAAAAAGAAAGAAAGAAAGAAAGAAAGAAAGACAGAAAGACAGAAAGACAGAAAGACGGAAAGACAGAAAGAAGAACTAAAGAAAGAGAAAGAGAAAGAAAGAAAGAAATTCTGGCAGAAAGAACAAATAACAAGAAAGAAAGAAAGAAAGACGAATACATATAGAGAAAGAAAGAAAAGAGAGCAAGAGAAAGAGAAAGAAAGAAATAAATTCAGAAAGAAAAGAAATAAAGAAAGAAAGCAATTGAAAGAAAGAAAAGAAAGAGACAAAGAAAGAGCGCAACCAAACAAAACAAGTCAAGCTCTTCCTATAGGCACTCTTCTCGCTTTAGAAACTTCCGCCAACCACCGGCTCTGCCGGCTCTGCTGGTAATATGATATGAAACGGCACATACGCCGTACGGCGCTGATAGAAGCACGGCACCTTGTCAGCAACATTGAAGCCCTCCTCAGAGCCCATAGCTGCAGACTGCAGGGACCTAGGCTGAGGATCATTCCTCGCAAAACGCTTTCGCGTTGCCAAGGCGCTTCTTCTGCACCTGTGCTAGTTCTGTGACCTGAAGTTCAGCTTAGTCTTTGCACTGAAAGGAAGAAGTGTATGTGTAAGATGTGTAAGATGTGTAAGATGTGTAAGTGCAAAGCCTTTCCGCTTGGGTCAAAGCCTGGTACTGAGACCTGCCAGTCACAGCAGGACACCGTGCGTTGCAAGCAAATCGCGCCATCATGATCGGAGAAGAGGCTTTGCTGTCCTGCGGCATGCAGCTTCATGAAAGAGTGAAAATGAGTTCAACTTTGTGGACATAAGTTACATAAGGTTTACCAGTCGCTTAAGTTGCCTTGTTTTTCCTTTGCGCTCATGGCCTTGGCGATGATGTCGGCGAGGTTGAAGGCCGGCAAATCCAAGAAGCCCTTGCCCAGCACAGTCTCCACCAGCTGGGTACCTCCGGAACAAGATCAAAGCAGAAGCACGCAGAAAGACCTAGCGGCAATGCCACAAAAGAAGTGAAACAAACGGCAAGGAAAACAAGTTGAGGATCAGATGCCAATTTGCAAGTGACAAAGACTTTGGACAGCTCCAAGACAGCTTCGAGCCAAAGCGCAAACGAAGATCAGGCGATCTGGGCGCAATGCCTTGCGTCGGAAAACAAAGTTGGCAGCAAACATACTTGGCACATCTTGGCACCTTGATGATCAAATTCTTCTGGACCAACTTGGCAATATCCGAAGAGTCATCAGGCCTCCGTTGCTTCAGCGGCAAGATGCGGCAAGCGATGTTGGCAATGCATAAGCTTGCCGGACTAAGCCGAGAGCTTTTCCCAGCCCTGTGGCATGGCAGTTTCGGGCTCAAGGTGCTCCATGAATTGCAGCCACTCGGACTCTTTCTCCTGAGCCGTGCCGAAGCACAGCGCAGCATGCCACAGCATGCCACAGCATGGGACAGCATGGGACAGCATGGGACAGCATGGGACAGCATGGGACAGCATGGGCCTGAATGTTGCCCACAAGCGCGCTGAAGCAAGGGAGCAGGTGCAAATCCTGACTGCAGTGCTGCATTGCTGGGATTGCGTTGAACGGCAGGTCACAGCTATTGTCCTGCAATGCCTTCAGCTGTTGGCTGTTCAGCTTGGATTTTATAACCTGCGGACAGAATACCAAGTTGCTCTGATTGTAAAGTCATTCAAACCGCCTCGCGGCACTGTTCCGCCAACGCTGCTGATGATGACTTCATAACATCCACCGCTGCACCTGAGCAATAAGCCGGGGACCCCAACCTATCCCTGGACCTATCCCGCCCCTGACCTTTCAGCAGCTGGTTGAGCTCAGTCTTGGGAAATGCCGACGCGCCCTGACTGTCCGCCCTGACCTGCGAGCCCAGACTGCATCCAAAAACGCATACCGAGGCCCAGCTTCTCAAGTTTGTCAGACGCAAATCGAGGCCCGGGCTTGTGCCAGTTGCAGCCCGAAGACGAGAACCTATGAAAGCCGAGCGCGAGGTGCGACAAGGCACAAGGCAAGACAAGGAGCGTCGGCTTCTTGAAGACCTGGCCCAACTCGAAGGAAAAGATTGCTGAACAGCTTCTCGATGATGGCCTGCGCGGGCGGTGGGCAAACGGCTTGGCCGGAATGCACCAAGGCCTCCAAGCGCTTCTCGTAGCTGAGATCCTGACCAAAATCAAAGACAAACTTTCCATGTCCCAAACAAAACCCAAGTGCCGCTGCCTTGTTCAGCTCTGACTTGAGAGAAGCCTCAAACACCTGAAATGTAGCCGTGCGCCGCGCATGTGGCGAAGTGGGGCGGCGCCTCTAGGAAGAAGGCCAAGCTGTAGCGATACAGCGTGTGCATGCCACCCATTCTTTGCAACCTGTGTTTGACCAGGTGTGAAGTGTATTTAGTGTATTTATACATTCAAGCCCGAGTGTGGCACATGAAGTAAAGGTTCGCCGCCACCTGAAGTCTTCACACCAAGCTGAGCCTCGAAGCCACACCGATAGCCTCGCCAGCAGTGTCGTACAGGGCGCTGGTTTCGTTGATTTCCTACACCAAAGGACAGCTGCGCGGGCAAACGTTCAAAAAGCAAACCGCCTGCATGATGGCATCTGTCTGGCCAAGCTTCTCCTGCAACGTTACCGCATGCCTATCAATGACAATCGCTGCAACGATTGGCAAGCAACGGCAGCTCCGGCTCGAAGTTCGCAACTTGTTGGTACAAATGTAGAACGCCAACTGCACTCTGGCAGCTCTGGCTCGCAACTGTTCAGTACAAGTGTAGCGCGCTGTACACTTCGAAAGTCACCACATTTGAGTACCAGTGCAGCGCACGAAGTACACTCTGGCAGCTCCACCTCGAAATTGCAACGTTTGAGTACAGTTGTAGCACGCGAACCGACTTTCAAGTACACTTTGAACAATTTGGCAGGTGCGTCACTCATGTCCCACCAAGAGTGATCCTTTGTTACTCCGAATTGTTTTGCGGTGGCTTGCGCACGTGTCGAAAAAGCGCCGGTCAAACACTAAATTGACCCCTTTGTGCAACAAAGGCTACCCACAAGGGGCAAAAGCGCAGTCTGGAGGCCAATGCCCGTCACCTTGCGGTGGCCTCTCACCCAGGCCCTTCTCCTGAATTTCGGAGGATTCCTTTTTGATCTTCTCCAAGGTTGCAATGACCTTCACATCCTAAGCAAAGCAAGCAAGTTGAAGCAAGAGAGCCTTTATTTGTCAAAGGCCTTTGAGCAGAACATGGCGAACGAACGCAAAGGCGAACGTCGACCGTCGACCGTCAACGGCCTCCAAGATGGAGCCTTCTACGTTGGAAAGCGCATGGAGCAGCTGCTCCTAAGCTAACTTGCGCGTCTTGCGAATCCGCGTGCCCCGTTGATCCATTTGGCTATCCATTTGGCTATCCATTTGGCTATCCATTTGGCCAGCCGTTTCTGCTTGGCCTTGTCAATCCGTCTGTCCATCCGCATCTGCACATCTATACACCTATCCGTCTATCTACCTGCCTAGCTATCTGCCTAGCTGTCTATCTATCTATTCAGGAATCAAATGTAATCTAGCTTAATCCGATGCAATCTCATTGATCTCTCTCTCTCTATATATCTTTGTCTCTCATCTTTCTAGCCTTCCTATTTACCCATCTCCCCCATGTATCTGTCCATCTATCTCAAGCTCCTCCAGCTCCCTCATCTTCACCTGAAAGGATAAGAGCTCATCTTCTGGACGCTGACACGCTGACTTTCATTGGGAAGCCCGCGCCTTGCACTCTCCCTGCAGTTTCAGCTGATCCTCCCTTTTGCGATCCACCTGACATTGCAAGCCCCACCGCAAAACCCGCCAAGAATCGGGAGCCAAACGTCAGGTCGTTCAGACTTCAGAAGTGCATTCATGCACCTGGCAAGAAATGCATTGCTGCAAGTGGCGTTTAGGAGCTAAGCCATGCGGGTCACACTGGCTCTGCAAGGAGGAAGGTGTCACAGTAAAATTCACGAAAGTCACCTGGAATCTCACAGCATTCAGCTTGCAAACCCAAATGTCAGTGCAAAGCTAGACTGAGGCAAAAACACGGCTGCACAAGTCCGGCGTGAATTGCGCTGTGGAATCCCTCGTGCACATATACATCCTTGAGCCAGGATCATGAGCAGTTGAGTCGTTCTCAAAAGCCACGCGTATTGCTAACATGCAACGCTTCTCATGCATTCTGATGCATTCTGATGCATTCTGATGCATTCTGATGCTTCTGATGCGAGTGTGAGGCTCTCGAAGGCAGGGCTGAAGTCGATGTCTTGATCACCAAGCGATATGAGAACACGGGGTCCACCTGCGAAACAGAAATGACGTATATGTATATGACGTAGCACAAATGCACGAATGCTCTCAACAAACAAGTCGTAGAGTCGTACATTCACCAAGCAGCTCTTGTGCGTCTCCCTATTGAGCACGTTGTTGAGGATAGGATCCACTCTGTCCACGTCCATCACAATTAGAGGCGCACCAAACCGGAGAGCTGTCTCGAGATTCTTCATAAAGCTGTTCTCCTCGGTATGGGGTGCTCTCTTTGATTCGGTCAGGAACTGGGAAAGCTAAGCTCAGCTCCACAAATGAAGTCTTCAGTAGCTTCTTGTCTTTGAACTCATTCGTGAGAAAGGTGATCGCTTGACCCGAGGGGTCTATGATCAATGGGTATCGCAAGAATCGACGCAGGATGATGGCATTCTCGTAGCAAAGATCATCATCGGGCAGCGCATTCTGCTTCCATTGAAGCCGCTCCGACGGCTTTGACAAATACTCCTTGGGCTCAGTGGCTGAGGCTTGATCTTGCAATGCAATATGCAATATGCAATGCTATGCAATGCTATGCAATGCTCCGACCGCAAAGTAACGATGGAAGTGTAAAAGAAGCACGGTTGAACGTCTGCGGAAGGCGAGCGGCAATGATGGCCATGTCCTCCTTCTGTTTGATTTCTGCCTCATCCAATTTCTCCCGCCACAGCGCAGTGACTCGCTGGCGCATGAATAGGTCAAAAAAGCCAATGTATGTGCAGAAAGCACCGCAAATCAGCACATCTCCAATCCTTGGCAAGACCAATCTGGCCCATCAGCACATATCAGTTTGCTGTGGCCATGACTGCACGGCCTTTGCAGCTTGCAGCTTTGGCGCATGCTAGCTGTTTGCTCCTGGAAGCCTCTGGACGACCCCTGCCATCTCACCTTCTCAGAGGAAAGGTCGGAGAGAAGCTGTGTTGAGCGTGTGCAATTCTCCTGCACCTGAGAATGAGAATGCAAACACGAGAAAAAAGCTGCCAAGGACATGGGTCTGCGGGGTGACAAATGCAATGCAAAGCCATGATGCTTGCTGCATCTGATGCTTGATCTGCTCCACTGAAGTGATCAGTTGCGCATACCTAGGCGACACGTGATGGGATGTCAAACGCCAATTCGCTCAATGCTGCCGGGCAGCTGCTCCTTGTACTGCTGGATTTTTGCCTCCATCTCAGCCACTTCCTTCTCACAGGCGTCCAGCTCCACTTTGTTCTTGTCAGCTTGCTGTTGCATTTGCTGCAGCTCATTCCTGTGGACACATGCTTGATATGCTTGATGCACGTCAAAATCCAGTATGTTTGCTCTGTCCTCATAGGCTCCATCATGCTGAGAAGGTCGGCAAATTGAAGCTGGCTTTCCACCCACTGTGCAACAGGTCCCGCGCAGCGTGAAGCTTGCTTGATTCTGGACACATCCCAAGCCTGCAATTCCCCCCAGAGGGGGAGGAGGTGGCAGAGTCGAAAACGTTTCTAAGTGTTCAGCTCCCAGGCATCCCAGCAAAACAAGCCTTACCAAAACAATTTACACCACTCTTAAAAACTTAGAATAACTTTAAGCCCAAACCTGAAAACACAAGTCTAAACAGTCTAAACCCTAAAAACCCAAATCGGTACCCTGAAAACCCTATAAGCTACACAGCAAATCATGTAAGCCCATAAAAACAAGGAATGAATGGATTGGGAGAACAATTAGCCCTCCCCACCATGTCCCACTCTCCTCAACAAAATAGCAACAAGCAATGGCATTTGCATACGTGTCACCCCCTCCCCAAATTGTATTTCTCATAGGGGCGGGGAAGTGGGGTGATGGCCTGCAGTCTAGATCGTGTGCTGTTATGAACAAAAACAAATCCGCACACTCAAGAAAGGCTAACAAGTAAAAAAAAGCAATGTACCATGAACGAAAGCTATGCTAAACATCCCCCTGCACCTTATTCTGCAGGTACTTCTTCTTCAATGTATCGCGCGTCGCATCCTTCAATTGCTCTGCATCCTGAGCTGTCTGGTGTTAGAACTTTGGGGGCACTGGGCTGGTTGCGACACGGAACCCCAGTCTAAACGAGCTTCGTATTCCAGAATGCTTGGGATGAAGTTGGCATCGCGCATAACCTTGCGCACGACTTCCCAGTTGATGGTGGCAGGAGAAACTTCAGGCTTGACCATGAGGATCACAGCCTCCATGGCCATCTTCACATGTTCGGGTGGCTTGTTCATCGACCGCAGCCTCAGGGATAGACAGGATAGACAGGATAGACAGGATAGATTGCTGAATTCAGGCTGGAAATGCCAAAGCTCACAAACCTTAGGCTCTGTCTCATCCAGCGACTGCTTGTTCACAGCACCCACAGCGCTCTTCGCGGCTTCGAGCGCAGGCTCCACTTCTTCAATCTTTTTCTGAATAACACCTCGGATCTCAGCGAATCTCAGCCGACCGATCCCCCACCCCAAGGCCTGCGATAACCAGAACGGATTTTTTCCCCACGCATGGCCTTGCTCAATACATGGCGGAGCTGGGTAAATACAAGCCAAATGCAAGCCTGTGAGCGCGTGCCTGGCAAGACGCACATTTTCTGGAATCGCAACATCTTGGATTGTGACGGGGGGAAGGCCTAGAGCGTGTTGCTCAGCGACAATTGCATTGGGCTCTTTCGAAGCCATTGAAACTTGGTTGGGCTCGGTAGCCATTGGTTGGGAAAACCTTTCATCGCAACACGGTTTTTGGACACACGCTAACCCCTTGTGAGCTTTTCTGCGACTAGAGGTAGTGACCTGTGGTTGGTCGAGTCATGTCAGCTGGGACGCTGGTTTGTGTTTTGGTCCCCTCGTCCCACATGATGAGAAGTTCCCGTATGAACTACTGACAGTCAATTATTGAAAATGATGGCCAGCCCACAATCCATTTGGCGACAAGTTCTGACACCTCTGAAGACCTTACACAGGTCAAACTCAGCAAACAACAGCTCAAAATACTGTGCAACCAGAGGAAAATAAGTTGCGTGACAGCCAGTCAACAAAAACCGCCTTGTCCGGAAACTTGTCCTGTGTGTCGACATTCGGACACACATGCGAGCACACTGCTTTACGTCATCAGGTTTTGCAAAGCTATGGACATCAATTTGCTCAGTGCCTGTAGTGGACATGGCGGTCGCGGCTATATTGGAGGTCTCATAGCCAACTGAAATCGCTTTGCTCAGTGACGAAAACACGGCGCATTGTCAGGAGTTGGCCTCACTGTTCCGGTTGGATGCACCCAAGTCAACCACTCTGGTTTTACCCTTCAAAGGCCAAAACCTCAACGAGCCTGACGGATTGCTTATAGATCTCATATCGCCGACCGCGTCATGAATCGTTGCGGAGCGATAGAACCTACGCCTATGTCGTTGTCTGGCCGACATCCTTGCGGCTCTATTGCTCTTGGTGGCGTCTTTTCAAAAGCGCTCGGCGCGTCGGCGAACCGCGCCGTCAAAGGGCGGCATCTTGGCGCTCAAAAGATTAAGAGACTTCCTCTGAGTTCCCCGTGGTTTGCGATTCGTGCAACGTACTCCACATGGAAATTTTCTTCGCTGGTATTTCCGCTACCACAATTGAAACTGGAAGTTGGGCCATTTCCTGACGCAATTGCCCTTGGCGAATGAGTGGCAAAGCTTCGTAAGTGCAAATCAAGTGTAAACCTGCGAGCACTCGCAGCTTTTCTTGGCAATCTGGGCAGAGTTTGTATGAATTGTTGGGGCCAAATTGCGTGTCCCCCCCCGTCTCCCCCCACCTCGTCGCTCCTCAATCACCTTTGACTGCTCTGCGAGCTCGCCCTGAAGCTTCTGGCTGGCTTGTTTCCTCTCTTCGGCTTCTCCTTGACCCTTCACCATCTGTGACATCATCCTGAGATGCGAATGGCCACTAGCGCCCGCTTCCACTGCATTCAATCCGAGCAGCTCTTCTGCCTCTTTGTTCTTGACGGAAAGCATTTTCTCCTTCTCTGCGAGGCCAGACTGAAGGTTGGCCACCTGATCTTCCGTTTCCTTCAGTTTCTTCAGGCCTGCAGCCCGCTGAAGAAACCACTTCGGGACTATGCAACCTGCCTCCATCGATGTGACCTTGTTGGTCCAGCACTTCGTCTCTTTTTTCTTTCATCAAGTCTGGAGACAGGCTGTGCCACAACAAAACTCACGCACAAACACACATTGCCCGCCCATGAAAGCTCAAACAAGACTAGAAGATGGGTGGCCCCAAAGCATTAGCAGCGGCGACAACGTCTCCTAACATCTCTGTGCAAGTTGCTCTGAGCACGTTCTTGGCGCGAGTTCCACTGAGCAAGTTCTCCCAGCAAGTTCTCTAAGCAAGTTCTCTCAGCAAGTTGCTCTGAGCACGTTCTTGGCGCGAGTTCCACTGAGCAAGTTCTCCCAGCAAGTTCTCTAAGCAAGTTCCCTCAGCAAGTTGCTCTGAGCATGTTCTTGGCGCGTGTTCGTCTGAGCAAGTTCTCCAAGCAAGTTCTCCAAGCAAGTTCTCTCAGCAAGTTGCTCTGAGCATGTTCTTGGCGCGGGCTCCTCTGAGCAAGTTCTCCAAGCACGTTCTCTGCGCAAGTTGCTCTGACTGAACAAGTTTCCTCTGCTCGCGGAACACTTTCGTACGCAAAAGTTAGGGTTTTCCCGCCGGAGCTGCGGGCGTGCACTTCGCGAACTACTTTTGCTCTTAAAAGTTGCGATTTTCCCCCCGGAGCTGCGAGGGTTTATTTTGCCTAATACTTTCGCACTCAACAGTTGTGATTCTCCAGCCGGAGCTGCCTTTGCGTACTACTTTCAAACTAAAAGTTGCGACTTTTCCAGCCAGAGCCGGGAATCGAAGCCGATACCACGCGATTGCAAAAGCAGGCGAGCAAACCGCGAGACAACTTCCTAAGACCATCTCATGAGCAAGAAGCGAGAGCGCTTCGACACTCACGATCCCCGCGGGTCGCGGAAATCGCGAAAAAGTGCGCGCTTTTTTAACATCGACCGCGCGGAGGAGATCCGCAGAGCGTCGCGCGCGCACCGCAGAAATCGTAAAAAGCCCTAATCCCCCGCCCCAACCTTAATAAGAAGGTTCTTATTGCCGAGCTGCTTCTCTTTCTGTCTTTCTTTCACGCGCGTTAAGCACCTTCTCTACAAATCTCAAACTTAACTTACAGCTGCTGACGCCAAGCCTCTTGGTTCCACGCACTTGGCTCTGCGTGCCTGGCTCTATGCGCTTGGCTCTGCGCACCTGGCTTCATGCACTTGGCTGTATGCACTTGGCTCGACACACTTGGCTCTCTGCCTTGGCTCTCTACACCTGCCTCTGTCAGTTGGCTCTGACTTGGCTCTGTGCAACTTGGCTCTGCGAAACATGGCGCTGCGCAACTTGGCTCTGCGCACCTCACTCTGTGTAATCACGCTGTGTAATTTCTGCTTTCGGGAAAACACAGGTATCTCACACGCTTGATTTGCGTTGTCCGGCCGCAGCTAGCCCACCTTGCCAAGCACGGCCAACAGCCAATTCAGCAATCGAAGCGCTGGCCAGCTCACGTCGATGAAGAAGCCATTGTTTGGCAACACGCTCACAGCGTAGTTTCTGGCCCAACGCTTTAATCTTGCAGAAATCGTGGCTGGCAAGCCAGATGCCAGTCCCCAGTCTGCCCTTGCCACGTTCTGCGCTTATGGCGCAGCAACGCCAGTCAGGCTGCGTGTACAAAAAATACGGACCACATTGCCCGGCCAGCGCCGCAACCGAATACGCCCAAACCTATCCTCGCTTCGCGCGTCAAAGGAAGGACTGTGAGGAGGTCAAGTCAGGGCTTGCAAACGGTTTTTACCACACTTTGGGCCTGGCTCTGAAAGCTGGGACGAGCACTTTGCAGCTCAATCGTGTGCTATAAACTGGGTTGCTTTCTGCTCCCCTGCTAAAAGTTTAACTTTTAGCGGTTCAATGGAAAACCCATTAAAGTTAAAGTTCTAACAGCCAAGCAAAATGCACCAAAGTAAAAGCGCTATAAAACGTTGGTCATGAAAGTTGCCCCAGCCTGTGAAATGGTTGATAAAGTCCAAGAAATCCCGCGGAGTTATGAAATTGTACCGCTGGGCACTCTTTTTCAGGTCCACGTTTGTCTGGTCCACCTGAGTTCCAAACTTCTAAGGCTTACACTCACCCGCTTGCAAAACCAAGCTGTGCTGCACCTTCTGGTGGAACGCCACGATGGTCTCCGACAACTTCTCATGCCGCAAAGCATCCTGCGCTGGCTAGGTCAAACAAACGAGGAACACAAACTGCGTCGGGTTGCACGCTGACCTTCTCGTCTCCAGGTCCCGCACAATCGCCTAGACATCTCTGCAAACTCTCAGCAGAAGCTTTTACGGTTAGGACAGTCAAGGTTTGCCCTCAAAGGTGCCTGTTCAAACCGGAGACTGTGAAACATGCCTCGCTCGCTTGCAAAGGCGCTGTATCGCACGCGTGCGCGCGCTTTCCGCGTGTGTGTGTGCGTGTGTGCGCTTATTTGTGTTTGCGCATCTGCCTCTCTCTCTGTGTCCCTGTGTGCGTGTCTGTGTCTCTCTCTCGCTCTCTCTCTCTCTCTGCGCCTCCCTCATCCCGACACGCATCTGGGCAGCCACTGGAGGAGGGCTGCGGGTTAGAAGCTCAGTTGTTTGTGCGAGTGAGCCCTTATGCTTTTCCCGGCAGCGAAGGGAGGTCTGGGAGAGGACGCGCTCTGTCTGTCCGAGTCGTCTATTTGCAACGGTTTCCTGCTGCTGTGCAATTGTTGGACGGATATTGATAGGGCCACGCTTGCCACTCGACTGAACCCCTGTGGCCTGTGGCGAAGATACACTCCTTGTCAGTGCTGCGCACCAAGGCTTCCCCTCCAGGCCCGGATCGTATTCCTTACGCGTTCTGGCGCGGATACCCCACCTACGATTTATTACGGATGGGTTTGTCCCACCGGCCAGTACGGACCCTCGATCTGAAAAGCCAAGCCTGGCCCCCACGGCGACTTCAGGCCGCTTGGAATGCCACGCTTGACCTGCTTTTGTAGACACCCTTGCCAGTTCTTTACACCCTGCACAAACCATACTCAATGCCTTTCGTGGCGCAAGCAGCTGTCATGAGTATCCAGGACACACTAGATCACTCCGACCTTTCAAAAGCTTTCGAACGGGTTACCCACTGGTGTCTTGAAATGTTACGTTGCCGCGGCGCTCCGCTCTGGCTGGTTGCTGCTGCTGCGTACCTATTTCATGGATGATCAGTTCTGCACAATTTGGAGGGAAAATTGCTGCCTCCTCTTGTCGTCTAGCAAGGTGTTGATACGGGGCGTGCTTCTGTGTTCTGTGTCGCCATGGGTCCGGTCTGTTGGCACCTCCATCGTTTTCCGCAGGTCCTGGGAGTGAGTGTTTCTTCCCTTGGCTGGATTCAATCTGTTCGTTCCTAAAGCGCTGGATGGCGTTTTCAGGCGTGCGGAGTCCTTCCACCGGCGCCGGCGCCCTCGCCGATGGGGTCAACCATGCTTGCCGATGACCGTGCCACAGTTGCATTGGGGATCATCAGTCCTTCTGGGGCGACGGCGGCTGACATCCCCCAGATGAAGCTTCTGCGTCTGAACACGCCGATCCAGTTCTCAGGTGATTTGTCTTCTTTCAACGGTACTCCTTGGACTGAGCGCGTCCGGGCCCTTCGGTCGACCAGCTCTACGGGTCGAAACAATCTCGCTCTCGTGGAGGTTTGTACTCATGAGCATATGAGCGTGAAGTGTGTGGCTCCCGTCGCTCCTACGGGAGCGTGTGCAGGGCATCGCCATTTCCAGCAAGCAGGGGGGACCAATCTCTCTGATGCGACTCGGTCCAACGAAGCGACGCCGCAGAGAGGGAAGCATCCTAGCCATGGATTTGTACCTGCAAACGTTGCGCAATGCCCGTTTGGCCCCCTTGGTTGTCTTGCTGCGTGTGCGCTTTAAATTTGACCTTGCAATGTGTTCGAACCTAGATGGAAGCCATCATACTTGAACTCGAACCAGCCGACTCGAGAGATCTTTACTCGAAGGCAAAAACTTTGGTGCTTTTGGAGCAATTTAGGTGTGTTTTCTGTGTCCCTCTGTTTCTCTCTGTGTTTCTCTGTGTCCCTCTGTGTCCCCCTGTGTCCCTCTGTGTCCCTGTGTGCCTCTGTGCGTCTCTGCGTGTTTCTGTCTGCGTCTGTCTCTGCGCGTCTCTGTCTCTGTGCGTCTCTGTGTGTTTCTGTGTGCGTCTGTCTCTGCGCGTCTCTGTCTCTGTGTGTGTCTGTGTGTCCCTCTCTCACCTGCGTCTCTGCAGCGTCCCTCCGTGTCTCTCTGTGCCAGTGCGTCTGTCTGCTTCTCCCTGTGTGCGTCCTTGTGTCTCTTTGTGTCTCTCTGGGTCGCTCTGTCTCTGTCTGTGTCAGTGTCAGTGTCAGTCAGACAGTGTGCACCTGCAGTGACTTCATCAGCATGCAGACTGACCCCAAAAGTACTCACTGATACCCAAAACAGCTGCAACCACAATCAGAAAACCAAACTGGACGTACCCAGGTGCACCAGCATCCAATCAACCAAACCAACAAAAACACAAAAACAACCACTGCAACCCATATCCAAACCAAGGGAGGCGCACTCAAAGGCATCTCTTCGGTTAACAATCAAAAGAACACAATCTCTGAGGTGCAAACCGGTACATGTGTCCTCGCCAATCAGCATGCTAGCCTTACAGCAATGTTAACAAGCAACAGAAACCTTTTCTCTGCGTCCAAGGAACTGTAAAATCTGCTGCAACTTGCAGAAGCGCTTCTTGTGGCCAATCACCAAACCAGTCGATTACGCAGCGATTGAACAGCGCAGGGCTGGAGTTGGAGCGGTTGTAGAAATCGGGGTTGGCCGGATTCCTTGGTTGATGCATACTGGTTGAGGCTATGGCACTTAATACCAGGCACGACCTCGAAATCTCTCGTCATTGGCTGCCTGATCAAATCTAAACTCTCCTCAGACCATGGCAAGGGTCATTGTGAAGACGATGTGCAAGTTTCTCTGAACTCTCTTTGTGAAGCGCGCAAATATTTCGGCGTCATCCACGCCGGTGATATTTGCTCCTCGGCATTCCTTATCAGAGCAAGCGGCCAAAGCAAGGTGGCAAAGGGACAACATCTGCAAACTGCGGCGATCGGCAATTGTGAGAAGGTTGGAAACTCTTTGATCTACTCTTTGATCCATCGAGGGGCATGGATCAAGGCCGTATGCTCATCCCCCTCGAAAAGTCCAGGTACTTCGCCAGATGCAAGCAGCGCGTTCATTCGCTCGATGAATGCTGGGCCCAATGCCTCGCTCGCTCGCATGCCGCGATTCTGTGAGTCACAGACACTCCGAGTCCGCAGCGTTGGACTCGTCGAAGATGAAGGTGATCTTTTCACCCTTGATCCCGGAACCTCACCCGGATCCACCCCGGAACCTCACCCGGATGCACCCGGATGCACCCGAATGCACCCGAGCAAAGAAAAGCGATGTCGCATGCCAAATGTCGCCCAGGCACGCTTCATGACTATCCGAACATCAGCCTCGAAGGCGAGGACGTCGTAGTTGCGGCCAATCTTCAAGGTGTAGACGCTAAGACCATTCAGCCAGGAGACAAACTTCGACAGTACCTGAAAAATTGAACAAGAGAATTGAAGAGAAAGTTAGAAAGGAACATACGAACAAGAAGAAAGTCAAAAGAAGCAGACGAGAAGTTGCCCAAGCTGCTGTCTTGCCGGCACCAGAAGCGCCGACGAGTAGCAAGTGGCCCAGAGGTTGCCTGCAAGCACCGTGCACATGTATGACGTAACAAAGCACAATAAAAGACACACGACAAAAAGAAGAAACGCAGAAAGACAAAGCACGTATTTGCTGTCGAAAGGCCTCAAAACCCGGTCCATGCGGACGATGTGATCAAGAACCGAGTCAAAGATCACCAGCCGTACCTACGAGTCATACCAGTCATCTTGAAACAAGTCCGGTCTGTGTCCTGTCTGTGTCCCTTACCCCTCTTGGACCCGGGCATCAAGCTCCTCTTCTTGGAAGATGCTCAACTTCGCCTTCCTTAGCCGAGTGACCCATGCCAAGCGAGAGGACAGCTCCCTCTGGGCCGCAACTTGGTTTGTCTCTATGCGTGCAATGATGCATAACCGCCAAACTTTTAAAAGCCACTGATTAATGCGGAAGCTTTAGTGACCGGCCAGTGCGGAGAGCGTTGACAAAAGCTGCTGCCAAGCTACACAAATTCACGGAGTTTTTCGCGCGGCTCATCCCGGTATCTATGCTGCTCCTCCAAGTAGCCTCACGAGAGGACTAGGCGGCAAATGAAAGAGCATGGGCAACTCATGAGCTCGAGAACTTTCCAAGTCTTTCCAAGCAACAACTGAAGAGAATTGGCCGTTCCAGCACATCAGCACCGCAGCCAAACCTACGCTGTCCAGTTCACTCCGTGTCAGCGCGCACTCCAGCCAAGACACTCCCTCTGAACAGCCTCATCCAACAGCGACTCGCTCCTTGGTAGGCCCGGACTCTTGTCGCAACATGGCACGTCAAGCAAAGAATTAGAACACCTGTTTTTTGCGGTTTCGGCTGGCGCTGGAGCTGGTGGTGCGTGCTCGGTGGGTGTATGCGTGGGCGTATGCGCGTGTGCATAAGCCCTTGCAACACCCCCTTGCTAAAAGCAAACGTGTATGCGGTGCCTGCGTGTGTCCAACAACGCACGGGAACACGAGCTATACCCTATGAAGGAGCGGCTTCTGGGTTCCTTGATCGAGGGCCGTCCGGGCTGTTCTGGCGCAGTTCCGCCAGCACGGGCCCTTTTTTCCTTTTCAAGCAGAGGATTTCGCGCCGAATGCACGGCATCAAGTTCAACCCATTTACATCTCGACATAGATCGACGTAGCATGCAGAATCTGTCCGATCTCTTTGAGCAGGCTGCCCTCTGTCGATTTCCTTGTTTTGCCTGATTTGACGACTGTGATTAGCTTGGAGCCCCCTCTCAAACAAGACAGGCTGAGTCTGAATGTCCGTGTGGGGGTACGTGGTTGTTTGGGACCAAATACGCAGGTCATCTGAGTCTTTGCGCCGGGCCAGATCGCGGTTCTGCCAGACGCGAGAGTATCGGGTCAGATTGGGCATGCGCGGTGTGTGGGGCTGTGTGTGGGCCAGATACGTGCAGGTCCGGCTGATTTGAAGCGTCTGACAACGTTGGTTGCCTCTCAAAACAGACATGCTCAAACATTATCTAAAGGGAAACTGAGGCTGATCATCCGCTCCCACGGCAAGTTGGGTCAACTGGCCAGCAGTTCCCCCAGTTGGGCTTTCATCACTTGGTTGTAGAAAATGCTTGAAACCACGGGCAATTGCTGACCGTTGAGCCAACACATAGTATGTTCTCTCTGTACTCGAGGCAACCGAGGCGCCACTCTCGTTCTTCCTCGAAGACCAGACGGTCCACAAAAATCCGCAGTCCCTGAAGCTCGTGGCAAAACAGAAGACAGAAGGCAATAAAAAAAAGAAAATAAAAGTTTTTACGATGTTGACTCTATCTCAATTCAACCAAAAACTCTAAGCCCAAGAGCTGCAGCTCAGGAGATTCGAGAAAGAACAATTAAAAAAAGAGAGAAAAAAAGAACAGCATACGGGAGCATACGGCTTCGGACTTCTTCGAGTGCTCAAACCACTTGGCAGTGCTTCCCGCATCAAGGCGACGTCTTGAATGGAAAAGCGGGGGCTCTAGATTCACAAATGCTCGACGAAAATAAGACGTTGGCGTTTAGCATGTTCAGGTCTCGTTCGTTCATGCAGTTTACCAAACTAATCACAACCAACTAAGAACCTCCATGCACCACCCATAGAACGAGCCATCAATCTGTCAGTCCTTATTTCTGGACCTGGCAAGTTTCCCAGTGACTCAAATTAAGCTGCAGGATCCACTCATGGTGCCCTTCCGATTCCTTGAAGTCTGGCACCCTTGCAACAGGCACGGGACCGAGGAAAATCCTGTCAAAACATGACAAGAGTCATCAAAACAAGTGGGAAAAATGTGAAAAGGTGACAAGAGGTAACAAAAGAGGTCACATAAGTCAAAACATGTCTAGTGGAGCTGATGCAGCTGGTACATGGCCATTCTGAGATGCAAATAAGGCGCTTCGTGAACCAGCAGGCGAATCAAATTCGTTTGTGTCATGCCATCCCAGTCTCGAATGCATTCATAAAGTGCAGTCTTCCATCGCGTCAGTTCCCGCGGTGAATACAAGTAGTGGGGCTGTTGATCGGATGTAAAACGCTGAGCGCTGTCGCGCCAGAACTGAACCATTGTGTTGGTCATTGCATCTGCGCTGCTCTTGTCAAGTTGCGGCTGCAGCTTCAGCATGGCCCGATTGAAGGTGCCATAGATCTGCCGCAGGGAGTCTGGACCTGGATAGTCCACCCAAATCACTGGAGCGTGCCTCAAGAAGCGGTCTGACATGGGGTGTCGGCCTGGGTCGGTCGGCGGGTTACAAGCCCCCAGAAACTGGACCCGCTCCACGTTCACCCATTGCCGGTCGCTTGGGCGGTAGAAGCCACCGGCTTCAGTGATCTGCCGAATGAACATGATGACCTTCTGGGTGCCGTACTTGTCTTCCTCCGGAAGGTTGCACTCATCGCAAAACACCACCACCCAGCGATTGAGCTGCAGCGGTCGCATGACCAGGCCAGCGGGCGTCTTGACAGTCTCGCAGTAGAGGTCGAAGGTCTTCAGCAACAGCTCCGGGGTCGTTCCAGCTGAGAAATTCAGGGAAGCCAATTCAAGACTTCCGGCCATGGACTTCATTGTGGACATCAAAGTCATCGTTTTCCCGCTTCCAGGGGGGCCACTCAGAATGAAGGGCTTCCTCTCCTCAAGCCAAGCCGCCAAGGCAGCGGTGTGCCGCACCGTATCGACGGTTGAGATGATCAGGCTGGAATCTGCGACCTTCTCGGGCTCCACATCCAAAGTCGGGACTCGCTTGTCCCAGTGGTACCACGCACCATCCTCCACCCGCACTTCGAAGTCAAGCAGCGTCGTGTCTCCTCCCAGGCCATCTGGCGCGGCTATCTCCCCCAAGTGCCCGGCAAGCAACTCGCAGAATTTCATGCGTGTGCTGAGGAACCTCAAGGGCACTCAACAGGCTGACTCACCAGAATTGTGAAACGAAATGCCACTCAAGTCCAAGCTGCATGTCTCCGCCGAAGGACCAGCAAATTGCAAACACCAAGTACTTCTGCATAAAGCTGCGAAGCACATCATCAGCCAGAGGGAACTCTTCATGCGCCTCATCGTACTCTAGGATCATGCTGATTCCCTTCCGAACCATGGAGAACCTCAGCGGCAACAGAATGTACTCAAATTATCAGAACGCTGGGGCTAAACTTGTGCTGCGGTGCAAGCCGGTGAGTGCCCGAATCATGGTGAAGGTCATGATGTGGTCCATGTCCATAGCTAGCCTCAGGCGCAATCCAGCTGCGAGGTGAGACGAGGTGAGACGGGGTGAGACGGGGTGAGAAAGCGAAAGCGTGAGGTCGACGGATTGATGGATCGATCGGCGGAGAGGACGAAGCCAAGCAGCTTCAAGGCAGAGAGCACCACTGCACCACTCTGGAAGCAGGGCTCCAGTGCTTCGATGCACTTCACCTTCGTCTTTTGCTCCTTTGACAAGCCTCGGTCAGTCGCAACATCGCGCTAGGGAAAACACACATCGTGCCAGAGCTTTCAAGGTGTTCCAGCGAAGACTCCATCGCTGTCATCTGCGCCGCTGAGCTGGTTCTCGCTTTTTTCCAGATTTCCGTACCTTAGGTAAACATGGTCTCCAAGCAAAACAAAGCTCTTTGACGCTTTCACGCCTTGACGCTTTGACGCACGGTACCGAGCGGACGATTCGACAGAAAGCGTGCTGCCGCCATCTTCTGTCTGGTCCAGGCCGCAAGTTCTCAAAGGATACGGATATCTCGCTCGATGTTTGCCATGCGCCAAACCAAACTCTGATCGTGAAAGTTCTGAGTAAATGAAGTCAAATGGTCGGTTCCCTTTCGCATTTCCCACAGCAAACCGGCTCAATGGTCAGCACGCTGTGTGCCAGTGGCAGGCCGGAACAGCTTTCCTTTCGCGCTTACGTCCCACTCTGTTCCTTGACGTTGTAGGTTCTTGGGTTCTCGGCGTGCACAAAGATTCCTAAGAAAGAAGCAAGTTCTTTGCTTCGGGCTTTCGGACGTGTCAGGGACCCCCGCGTTGCGACCACCCGGGTCGCTTGGTCTGGGGCTTGCTCGGTCTGTGCTTTTGCAAGCAGCCATACATGCCCCTGGCAGCCATGGTGCTGGTTTCCACTTCCGCTAGCGCGTTGGTCTGATGTGCTTTGCAAGACAGAGGAAGAACAAGCCCACCGAGAAGTTAACCATGCAGGAAACACGCAGCCACAGAGTACAACAAAGCCTTCGAAGAAGTTCATAACAGGGCCTCGCAAACAACATCAAGAATACCATTGGCCAGCTGGCCACTTCACGTGGATTCCTTCGGAAAGCTGAGCGGTTCAACTAACTGGATATAATTGCATAAAAAACGAAAGTGACACGACTTCGTGACATGTCTGAAACCTTCGCTTCTCAATTCCACCTGCAAGCCATGGCGCTTGATGGACTTGAGCTCGTTGCTGCACACCATCCTTGCGCACTGAGTCCCAAGCCGAAAGGGAAACAAAAATGTTGGAAGGTGTCCGCTCCGAAAAGGAAGGCGCACGAGGGCGGTCTTTTGCAGGCTCGCGATGGGCATGCGGCATGTGCAGCATCGTCATACCATCAGCACACGTGCAACTTCACTGCTGGCCTTGACCGAGGTCGTACAACGTCACCCAATGCTTTTGAGTTTGAAAGCAGATGGACGCCGAGCCTTGGCCTGCCCTTTACGTGTACACGGGCATCTCTTCGTCACTATCTGACGGTGGGTGGGGGGGGGGTATGCTCGATTCTATTTTTGTGCGGCTTGACTGCTGCCATGACCTTCCTTGCCAATTTGCAAATGTCTCTACGTGAAACGGGATTCATTGCAAGTGTACAAACACTTCGGATTTATGCTGACGGTGCTGGTGATGCTGGGGATGTTGCGCTATCATCCTGGGACGACAGCAACCACTTCACTTGCGCTGAAATCTCTGTTGGGGATGCCGGCGCTGGGCGGCAGCCCATAGATTCATGCGTGTTGCTGCACTTACGATCGAACAATGCGCGAACCAGGGAAAATTGTTTCTGGGCAACTCCACTGAATTCAGCCTGGCATCTCCTCAGTCACGACATCATTGGCGAACCACACCATGCCACACCGGCTCACGGTTGCCAATGTGGCGTACTTTAAAGTATCAACCTCGAACATGATGCGGACGTTCCTGCAGTCGGCAGAACAGAGATTCGCTCAAATCGCAAAGCGATTTGAACAATTTTGCATGGTTTGCCCTGGCGAGCTGGAAGCATTCTGAATGCACGGAAAGCAACATGCATGATTGCAATTGAGACAAGGCACGGAGGAATCGCGAGACGCTCACCATTGGGAAGAGTGAGAAGCTTGTTGTCATCCAGAACAGAGTTGAGATTCTCTGCCCATTCCGGATCGACATCCTAGCATAGGAGCACGAGGCATATCTCCAAACAGTGTTTGCAAGCGCAACATCAGACAAGATTCCCCGTCAAACATGATCCACTGGCGCCGGTTGTTCTCACCTCTGTGTCCGGAAAGAATGCGGCGAAGAATGTCCGTAAAGACGCCATCCGTCCATTCCAACGTGGTGGGATCCAATTTGCCGTAGAGCTCCTCCTTGGACACCGCCTTGGGATCCACCACGTACGCATCCCCCTTGACGCTGTCCAGCTTCTCCATGGCGTCCAGGAGAGTGCGCCACACTGTGGATTTGCCAGTGCCCACAGTGCCCACCAACATGACACCATGAGTGATTCTTTGGATCTGGTAAAGCTCCATGCATTTCAACATGAAGTTCTCTGTGCACTCGAAATGCCGCAGCTTGCAAAGGCGACGAATCCTTGGCTCGAAGCGACTCGCAGGGCCTCTCGAGGGGCAATTTGGCAACAGGTGCACCGTACAAGATTCGAATCGTTGGGGCCCGGGTGCCTGGGGTGCCTGGGGTGCCTGGGCCCGGGTGCCTGGGGTGCCTGGGCCCTCTCGAAGCCAAGCTGCTCATCTTGCAAGATCTGATTGTCAACGATGCCAACGTCAGCCCCAGGAAACACGCCAGAGATGAGGCTTTGCATCAGCGGCTTGTCTTGCGCAACGAGCTTTGGCACCAAGGTATCAAAGATTGCTCGCAGCAAGATTTTCTGCTCACTCTTCGCCACCTATAAGCGTGCACAGCAATCACAGCAATCATAGCAATCAGGGCAGCAACACCGCAATCCTCATGCGCAAAGGCCGTGCCTCATCCTCCGACAGCAACCCAAACTTCTCCGGGCCTGTGCACGCCACATTGACGGATTGAGATTGAGAGCCTGTGCAAACGCCTATGTTGGTGACCTCCTCGCGCTTCATGGAACCAGCACAGGCTAGGACGGCCTGGGATCCATGCAAAGGTCAACCACCTTGAGTCGTTGAGATGTCACAGGCCTTGAGCGAGCGCAAGCCAAAGTCATAGTGCGGCTGTGAAGAAAGTTGGTCTTTGCAAAGGTCGAAGAGGAACACCACCTTTCAAGGCTCTTGCAAACCCTTGCCGCATTGCATCACTTCAGAATGTCCCAGCGAACACACAAAGTATTTGCAAGAGCCCCGGCTTGCCAAGTTTGAATGAAGCCCAAAATTGAGAATTGCGACTCATATTGCGACGTGCAACGCCCGGAGCCTTGCTTGCGAGTCTTTCGGCACTGACAAAGCCCTGGTTGAAGAGGTTGACTTGCGCAATGAGCGTCTTGTTTGGAGTCGTCCTCCAGTCTTAGGGTCTGTTTCGGCTCATGTCTCTCAAATATCCGAGGCTGCTGCATTGCCATAGCGCGGAAGAGTTGCTTGAGGTTGTCCGGGAGATTGGACCGCCCTGCGTAGCCAGGGTTCATGGTGACAAAGATGCCCACGTTTGAGTTGAGTCTGACCTCAGATCGAAATTAAGCAGATGAGAAGGTTCTGTACACTAGAAGCGCTAAGTGAAGCGAAGGCGAGATAAATAAAATGGAAGAGGCGGAAAAGAGAAAGGAAAAGACAAGAAAAAAACCAAAGACAAAGGAAAGGGAGGGGAAAGAGTAGGGAAAAGGAAAGGAGCAAGAGAGAAAAAAAAGGAAGAGAGAGGTAAGAGAGGGGAAAATGAAGGAAACGGACGCTGTGAGCGTGCGTTCTTTTTCCGCATTTAATAAGCTTCCCACAACCCCCCAGCAGATTGGGCCATAGAGTTCCTAGAGAACCAACAGCGAGGACGACGAGGGAAAGGAGAGGGGGAAGAGAGGAGGAATGGAAGGGGCAAAGAGAGAGGGGACAAAGATACCAACAAGCAATGCAACAAAAGGAACGAGATACGACATAGCAAGGAACGAGAAGGGAAAGAAGGGCGAAGGAGAGGGCGAAGCAAAAGCAAAGACGGCAAAAAGCAGATAGGAATGTGAAGGGAACGAGAAGGGAAGAAGAGGAAAACAGGGGAGACGAAGAGGGGAAGGAGAGGGGGAAGGGAGGAGGAATGGAAGAGGGAAAGAGAGGGGACAAAGATACCAACAAGCAATGCAAAAAAAGAGGAACGAGATACGACATAGCAAGGAACGAGAAGGGAAAGAAGGGCGAAGGAGAGGGCGAAGCAAAAGCAAAGACGGCAAAAAGCAGATAGGAATGTGAAGGGAACGAGAAGGGAAGAAGAGGAAAACAGGGGAGACGAAGAGGGGAAGGAGAAGGGGAAGGGAGGAGGAATGGAAGAGGGAAAGAGAGGGGACAAAGCTACCAACAAGCAATAGCAATGCAAAAAAAAAGGAACGAGATACGACATAGCAAGGAACGAGAAGGGAAAGAAGGGCGAAGGAGAGGGCGAAGCAAAAGCAAAGACGGCAAAAAGCAGATAGAAATGTCAAGAGAAAGAGAAGGGAAGAAGAGGAAAAACAGGGGAGACGAAGAGGGAAAGGAGAGGGGGAAGAGAGGAGGAATGGAAGGGGGAAAGAGAGAGGGGACAAAGATACCAACAAGCAATGCAAAAAAAGAGGAACGAGATACGACATAGCAAGGAACGAGAAGGGAAAGAAGGGCGAAGGAGAGGGCGAGGCAAAAGCAAAGACGGCAAAAAGCAGATAGGAATGTGAAGGGAAAGAGAACTGAAGAGGAGGAAAAACATGGGAGACGAAGGGGAAGGAGAGGGGGAAGAGAGGAGGAATGGAAGGGGCAAAGAGAGAGGGGACAAAGATACCAACAAGCAATGCAAAAAAAGAGGAATGAGATACGACATAGCAAGGAACGAGAAGGGAAAAAAGGGCGAAGGAGAGAGCGAAGCAAAAGCAAAGACGGCAAAAAGCAGATAGGAATGTGAATGAAAAAGAAAAAAGAAGAGGAAAAACAGGGGAGACGAAGAGGGAAAGGAGAGGGGGAAGAGAGGAGGAATGGATTGGGCAAAGAAAGAGGGGACAAAGATACCAACAAGCAATGCAACAAAAGAAAAACGAGATACGACATAGCAAGGAACGAAAAGGGAAAGAAGGGCGAAGGAGAGAGCGAAGCAAAAGCAAAGACGGCAAAAAGCAGATAGGAATGTGAAGGGAAAGAGAAGGGAAGAAGAGGAAAAACAGGGGAGACGACAAAGATACCAACAAGCAATGCAAAAAAAGAGGAACGAGATACGACATAGCAAGGAACTAGAAGGGAAAGAAGGGCAAAGGAGAGGGCGAGGCAAAAGCAAAGACGGCAAAAAGCAGATAGGAATGTGAAGGGAAAGAGAAGGGAAGAAGAGGAAAAACAGGGGAGACGAAGAGGGAAAGGAGAGGGGGAAGAGAGGAGGAATGGAAGGACAAAGAGAGAGGGGACAAAGGTACCAACAAGCATTGCAAAAAAGGAACGAGATACGACATAGCAAGGAACGAGAAGGGAAAGAAGGGCGAAGGAGAGGGCGAAGCAAAAGCAAAGACGGCAAAAAGCAGATAGGAATGTGAAGGGAAAGAGAAGGGAAGAAGAGGAAACAGGGGAGACGAAGAGGGAAAGGAGAGGGGGAAGAGAGGAGGAATGCAAGGACAAAGAGAGCGGGGACAAAGATACCAACAAGCAATGCAAAAAAAGGAACGAGATACGGCATAGCAAGGAACGAGAAGGGAAAGAAGGGCGAAGGAGAGGGCGAAGCAAAAGCAAAGACGGCAAAAAGCAGATAGGAATGTGAAGAGAAAGAGAAGGGAAGAAGAGGAAAAACAGGGGAGACGAAGAGGGGAAGGAGAGGGGGAAGAGAGAAGGAATGGAAGCGGAAAAGAGAGAGGGGACAAAGGTACCAACAAGCAATGCAAAAAAAGGAACGAGATACGACATACCAACAAGCAATGCAAAAAAAGGAACGAGATACGACATAGCAAGGAACGAGAAGGGAAAGAAGGGCGAAGGAGAGGGCGAAGCAAAAGCAAAGACGGCAAAAAGCAGATAGGAATGTGAAGGGAAAGAGAAGGGAAGAAGAGGAAAAACAGGGGAGACGAAGAGGGAAAGGAGAGGGGGAAGAGAGGAGGAATGGAAGGGGCAAAGAGAGAGGGGACAAAGATACCAACAAGCAATGCAAAAAAGGAACGAGATACGACATAGCAAGGAACGAGAAGGGAAACAAGGGCGAAGGAGAGGGCGAAGCAAAAGCAAAGACGGCAAAAAGCAGATAGGAATGTGAAGGGAAAGAGACGGGAAGAAGAGGAAAAACAGGGGAGACGAAGAGGGGAAGGAGAGGGGGAAGAGAGGAGGAATGGAAGGGGGAAAGAGAGGGGACAAAGATACAAACAAGCAATGCAAAAAAGAGGAACGAGCAAGGAACGAAAAGGGAAATAAAGGCGAAGGAGAGAGCGAAGCAAAAGCAAAAACGGCAAAAAGCAGATAGGAATGCGAAGGGAAAGAGAAGGGAAGAAGAGGAAAAACAGGGGAGACGAAGAGGGAAAGGAGAGGGGGAAGAGAGGAGGAATGCAAGGACAAAGAGAGAGGGGACAAAGATACCAACAAGCAATGCAAAAAAAAAAAAAACGAGATACGACATAGCGAGAATTGAGAAGGGCAAGAAGGGCGAAGGAGAGGGCGAAGCAAAAGCAAAGACGGCAAAAAGCAGATAGGAACGTGAAGGGAAAGAGAAGGGAAGAAGAGGAAAAATAGGGGAGACGAAGAGGGGAAGGAGAGGGGGAAGAGAGGAGGAATGGAAGGGGGAAAGAGAGAGGGGACAAAGATACCAACAAGCAATGCAAAAAAAAAAAAACGAGATACGACATAGCGAGAATTGAGAAGGGCAAGAAGGGCGAAGGAGAGGGCGAAGCAAAAGCAAAGACGGCAAAAAGCAGATAGGAACGTGAAGGGAAAGAGAAGGGAAGAAGAGGAAAAATAGGGGAGACAAAGAGGGGAAGGAGAAGGGGAAGAGAGGAGGAATGGAAGGGGCAAAGAGAGAGGGGACAAAGATACCAACAAGCAATGCAAAAAAGGAACGAGATACGACATAGCAAGGAACGAGAAGGGAAACAAGGGCGAAGGAGAGGGCGAAGCAAAAGCAAAGACGGCAAAAAGCAGATAGGAATGCAAAGGGAAAGAGAAGGGAAGAAGAGGAAAAACATGGGACACGAAGAAGGAAAGGAGAGGGGGAAGAGAGGAGGAATGGAAGGGGGAAAGAAAGAGGGGACAAAGATACCAACAAGCAGTTCAAAAAAAGGAACGAGATACAACATAGCAAGGAACGAGAAGGGAAAGAAGGGCGAAGGAGAGAGCGAAGCAAAAACAAAGACGGCAAAAAAGCAGATAGGAATGTGAAGGGAAAGAGAAGGGAAGAAGAGGAAAAACAGGGGAGACGAAGAGGGGAAGGAGAAGGGGAAGAGAGGAGGAATGGAAGGGGCAAAGAGAGAGGGGACAAAGATACCAACAAGCAATGCAAAAAAGGAACGAGATACGACATAGCAAGGAACGAGAAGGGAAACAAGGGCGAAGGAGAGGGCGAAGCAAAAGCAAAGACGGCAACAAGCAGATAGGAATGCAAAGGGAAAGAGAAGGGAAGAAGAGGAAAAACATGGGACACGAAGAAGGAAAGGAGAGGGGGAAGAGAGGAGGAATGGAAGGGGCAAAGAAAGAGGGGACAAAGATACCAACAAGCAATGCAAAAAAGAGGAACGAGATACGACATAGCAAGGAACGAGAAGGGCAAGAAGGGCGAAGGAGAGGGCGAAGCAAAAGCAAAGACGGCAAAAAAGCAGATAGGAATGTGAAGGGAAAGAGAAGGGAAGAAGAGGAAAAATAGGGGAGACGAAGAGGGGAAGGAGAGGGGGAAGAGAGGAGGAATGGAAGGGGCAAAGAGAGAGGGGACAAAGAGACCAACAAGCAATGCAACAAAAGAAAAACGAGATACGACATAGCAAGGAACGAGAAGGGAAAGAAGGGCGAAGGAGAGGGCGAAGCAAAAGCAAAGACGGCAAAAAGCAGATAGAAATGCGAAGAGAAAGAGAAGGGAAGAAGAGGAAAAACAGGGGAGACGAAGAGGGAAAGGAGAGGGGGAAGAGAGGAGGAATGGAAGGGGCAAAGAAAGAGGGGACAAAGATACCAACAAGCAATGCAAAAAAGAGGAACGAGATACGACATAGCAAGGAACGAGAAGGGAAAGAAGGGCGAAGGAGAGAGCGAAGCAAAAGCAAAGACGGCAAAAAGCAGATAGGAATGTGAAGAGAAAGAGAAGGGAAGAAGAGGAAAAACAGGGGAGACGAAGAGGGAAAGGAGAGGGGGAAGAGAGGAGGAATGGCAGGGGCAAAGAGAGGGGGGACAAAGAAACCAACAAGCAATGCAAAAAAGGAACGAGATACGACATAGCAAGGAACGAGAAGGGAAAGAAGGGCGAAGGAGAGGGCGAAGCAAAAGCAAAGACGGCAAAACGCAGATAGAAATGCGAAGAGAAAGAGAAGGGAAGAAGAGGAAAAACAGGGGAGACGAAGAGGGAAAGGAGAGGGGGAAGAGAGGAGGAATGGAAGGGGCAAAGAAAGAGGGGACAAAGATACCAACAAGCAATGAAAAAAAGGATGCAAAAAAAGGAACGAGATACGGCATAGCAAGGAACGAGAAGGGAAAGAAGGGCGAAGGAAAGGGCGAAGCAAAAGCAAAGACGGCAAAAAACAGATAGAAATGTGAAGAGACAGAGAAGGGAAGAAGAGGAAAAACAGGGGAGACGAAGAGGGGAAGGAGAGGGGGGAGAGAGGAGGAATGGAAGGGGCAAAGAGAGGGGACAAAGATACCAACAAGCAATGCTAAAGAAGGAACAAGATACAACGTAGCAAGGAACGAAAAGGGAAACAAGGGCGAAGGAGACGGCGAAGCAAAGCAAAGACGGCAAAAAGAAAATAGAAATGTGAAGAGAAAGAGAAGGGAAGAAGAGGACAAACAGGGGAGACGAAGAGGGGAAGGAGAAGGGAAAGAGAGGAGGAATGGAAGAGGGAAAGAGAGGGGACAAAGATACCAACAAGCAATGCAAAAAAAAGGAACGAGATACGACATAGCAAGGAACGAGAAGGGAAAGAAGGGCAAAGGAGAGGGCGAAGCAAAAGCAAAGACGGCAAAAAACAGATAGAAATGTGAAGAGAAAGAGAAGGGAAGAAGAGGACAAACAGGGGAGACCAAGAGGGAAAGGAGAGAGGGAAGAGAGGAGGAATGGAAGGAGGAAAGAGAGGGGACAAAGATACCAACAAGCAATGCAAAAAAAAGGAACCAGATACAACATAGCAAGGAACAAGAATGGAAAGAAGGGCGAAGGAGAGGGCGAAGCAAAAGCAAAGACGGCAAAGAGCAGCTAGAAGTGTGAAGGGAAAGAGAAGGGAAGAAGAGGAAAAACAGGGGAGACGAAGAGGGAAAGCAGAGGGAGGAAGAGGAGGAACGGAAGGGGGAAAGAGAGGGGACAGAGATACCAACAAGCAATGCAAAAAAGGAACGAGATACGACATAGCAAGGAACGAGAAGGGCAAGAAGGGCGAAGGAGAGGGCGAAGCAAAAGCAAAGACGGCAAAAAGCAGATAGGAATGCGAAGAGAAACAGAAGGGAAGAAGAGGAAAAACAGGGGAGACGAAGAGGGGAAGGAGAGGGGGAAGAGAGGAGGAATGGAAGGGGGAAAGAGAGAGGGGACAAAGATACCAACAAGCAGTTCAAAAACAGGAACGAGATACGACATAGCAAGGAACGCGAAGGGAAAGAAGGGCGAAGGAGAGGGCGAAGCAAAAGCAAAGACGGCAAAGAGCAGATAGGAATGCAAAGGGAAAGAGAAGGGAAGAAGAGGAAAAACATGGGAGACGAAGAGGGGAAGGACAGGGGGAAGAGAGGATCCATGGAAGGGGGAAAGAGAGGGGACAAAGAGACCAACAAGCAATGCAAAAAAGGAACGAGATACGACATAGCAAGGAACGAGAAGGGAAAGAAGGCCGAAGAAGAGGGCGAAGCAAAAGCAAAGACGGCAAAAAGCAGACAGAACTGTGAAGAGAAAGAGAAGGGAAGAAGAGGAAAAACAGGGGAGACGAAGAGGGAAAAGGAGAGGGGGAAGAGAGGAGGAATGGAAGGGGGAAAGAGAGGGAACAAAGATACCAAGAAGCAATGCAAAAAGAGGAACGAGATACGACATAGCACGGAACGAGAAGGGAAACAAGGGCGAAGGAGAGGGCGAAGCAAAAGCAAAGACGGAAAAGAGCAGATAGAAATGTGAAGAGAAAGAGAAGGGACGAAGAGGAAAAACAGGGGAGACGAAGAGGGGAACGAGAGGGGGAGAGAGGAGGAATGGAAGGGGGAAAGAGAGGGGACAAAGATACCAACAAGCAGTTCAAAAAAAAGGAACGAGATACGACATAGCAAGGAACGAGAAGGGAAACAAGGGCGAAGGAGAGGGCGAAGCAAAAGCAAAGACGGCAAAAAACAGATAGAAATGTGAAGAGACAGAGAAGGGAAGAAGAGGAAAAACAGGGGAGACGAAGAGGGGAAGGGGAGGGGGAAGAGAGGAGGAATGGAAGGGGCAAAGAGAGGGGACAAAGATACCAACAAGCAATGCTAAAGAAGGAACAAGATACAACGTAGCAAGGAACGAAAAGGGAAACAAGGGCGAAGGAGACGGCGAAGCAAAAGCAAAGACGGCAAAAAGCAGACAGAACTGTGAAGAGAAAGAGAAGGGAAGAAGACGAAAAAGGGGAGACGAAGAGGGGAAGGAGAGCGGGAAGAGAGGAGGAAAAGAAGGGGGAAAGAGAGGGGACAAAGATACCAACAAGCAATGCTAAAAAAGGAACGAGATACAACATAGCAAGGAACGAAAAGGGAAAGAAGGGCGAAGGAGAGGGCGAAGCAAAAGCAAAGTTGGCAAAAAGCAGATAGGAATGCGAAGGGAAAGAGAAGGGAAGAAGAGGAAAAACAGGGGAGAGGAAGAGAAGGGAGGAGAGGGGGAAGAGAGGAGGAATGGAAGGGGGAAAGAGAGGGGACAAAGATACCAACAAGCAGTTCAAAAAAAAGGAACGAGATACGACATAGCAAGGAACGAAAAGGGAAAGAAGGGCGAAGGAGAGGGCGAAGCAAAAGCAAAGACGGCAAAAAGCAGATAGGAATGCGAAGGGAAAGAGAAGGGAAGAAGAGGAAAAACAGGGGAGAGGAAGAGAAGGGAGGAGAGGGGGAAGAGAGGAGGAATGGAAGGGGGAAAGAGGGGGGACAAAGATACCAACAAGCAGTTCAAAAAAAAGGAACGAGATACGACATAGCAAGGAACGAAAAGGGAAAGAAGGGCGAAGGAGAGGGCGAAGCAAAAGCAAAGACGGCAAAAAGCAGATAGGAATGCGAAGGGAAAGAGAAGGGAAGAAGAGGAAAAACAGGGGAGACGAAGAGAAAAGGAGAGGGGGAAGAGAGGAGGAATGGAAGGAAAAAGAGAGGGAACAAAGATACCAAGAAGCAATGCAAAAAGAGGAACGAGATACGACATAGCACGGAACGAGAAGGGAAACAAGGGCGAAGGAGAGGGCGAAGCAAAAGCAAAGACGGCAAAAAGCAGATAGGAATGCGAAGGGAAAGAGAAGGGAAGAAGAGGAAAAACAGGGAGAGGAAGAGAAGGGAGGAGAGGGGGAAGAGAGGAGGAATGGAAGGGGGAAAGAGAGGGGACAAAGATACCAACAAGCAGTTTAAAAAAAGGAACGAGATACGACATAGCAAGGAACGAAAAGGGAAAGAAGGGCGAAGGAGAGGGCGAAGCAAAAGCAAAGACGGCAAAAAGCAGATAGGAATACCAAGAAGCAATGCAAAAAGAGGAACGAGATACGACATAGCACGGAACGAGAAGGGAAACAAGGGCGAAGGAGAGGGCGAAGCAAAAGCAAAGACGGCAAAAAGCAGATAGGAATGCGAAGGGAAAGAGAAGGGAAGAAGAGGAAAAACAAGGGAGAGGAAGAGAAGGGAGGAGAGGGGGAAGAGAGGAGGAATGGAAGGGGGAAAGAGAGGGGACAAAGATACCAACAAGCAGTTTAAAAAAAGGAACGAGATACGACATAGCAAGGAACGAAAAGGGAAAGAAGGGCGAAGGAGAGGGCGAAGCAAAAGCAAAGACGGCAAAAAGCAGATAGGAATGCGAAGGGAAAGAGAAGGGAAGAAGAGGAAAAACAGGGGAGAGGAAGAGAAGGGAGGAGAGGGGGAAGAGAGGAGGAATGGAAGGGGGAAAGAGAGGGGACAAAGATACCAACAAGCAGTTCAAAAAAAAGGAACGAGATACGACATAGCAAGGAACGAAAAGGGAAAGAAGGGCGAAGGAGAGGGCGAAGCAAAAGCAAAGACGGCAAAAAGCAGATAGGAATGCGAAGGGAAAGAGAAGGGAAGAAGAGGAAAAACAGGGGAGAGGAAGAGAAGGGAAAGGAGAGGGAAAGGCGGGAGTCCAGGCCTGCTTCCCCAGGATCTCGATCTCCTTCTTGTTTTGTTTGTTGCCGGTTTGGATGGTCAGCACTTGCTCGGACACCGCCGACAGGATGCGCTCCTCCAAGCGGTTGAACTCGTCAAAGCAGCCCCAGGCGCCCACTTGGCAGAGGCCCACGAAGATCCGGCCCATGGCCTCAATTTAGATACCGGAAGTCAAAATAGAATTTCAGATTTCTAATTTCAACTTTGGAATTCAACTGTTCAATTTTCAAGTAGACCGAAGGGTAAGCAAAGAGAAAGAGATCGGGGCTATTGTAAGCCTTCGGGCTTGGCAAGTTGGTCCCAACGGCCCGCCTGAAAGTCAAAGCCCTCGTCGCAGCAGAAGACAAGCACAAATCGACCCATTGTGTTGCCCAAAGCCTTCACCGATTCAGTCTTGCCTGTCCCCGCAGGCCCGAAGGGATTGGCCCCCAGCCGCATATGAAGGGCTTGCGTCAAGGTCAAAAAGCACCGATCTGTGAGAGGTGTTTGCACCAGCTTGTCTGCAATGCCCAAGTACTCAAAGCCGTAGAAGAAGGTAGCATCAGCCATACAAATGGACAAACGCTGAAGGATTTGGGGCTCGCTCGGATTCCAGTACATCCGCATGAGCTGAAGCCACTGGAAGTCTTTGGGGGAGCACACTTTGTCCTGGATCAGTTGCCTTGACACATCTCTTTGGTGTACGACTTCAGTGATTAGCTGTGCAAGTTTCTGACGCACGTCGTTACTCACATTCGTGATCACCTTGCCCGCCATGAACGACAGCTGCTCGACGGTACGAGGCAAGACTTTCTCCATGTCTGCCGCACCACCGGAGCTCAGTGCGGCCTCAACCTTCGCACACCAGTCTGCCAATATTGCCATCAGCAGCACCTGACAAAGCCGGCAAAGGATTGCCAACCACATGGCCCATGGCCTCACCTGACGTGCCCAAACTCTACTCCTTTGTCATCCGGTTGGAAATGCAACATTCATGAGGCACGTACGACTGATCCGGCCTGGCACGGATACTTGGAAACCCAGACCTGCGAGCTGCAAAAAGGTGAGAACAGCAAAGCACAAAGCTGAGAGGTCGACAGGAAGTTAGGCCGGACAGAGCCGCTTTGCGCGATATTGCTCCAAGTGGCCATTGTCTCCTCCTCGCTGATTGTCCCATCAGCTGCAAAGAGCGTCCCCAACCTATCAGATAAAAACCGTCCAATTGACTTCCAGCGTCATCGCAGCATCGCAATGCGCTCAGGCTGTGGCTCATTCATGGAGGAATTCAGATGCTCACCCAGCGACGCTTGCATGCTAGCCTGGGAATGAACAAGCAAAAAAAGTATGTTGATCCCTCAATGCCTCATTACACAGTCTCATCTGGCCTCCGTCTTGGACAGCCAGCCATTGATTGACGGGTCCTCGTTGATGTTGACCTCGAGAGGAGTCGGGGAGGAAGGGTAAGAACGGGACGAGGACGGGACAAGAACGATAAAAGGAAAAGAAAGGACAAGAAAGGACAAGAAAGGACAAGAAAGGAAAAGAAAGGAAAAGAAAGGAAAAGAAAGGAAAAGAAAGGAAAAGAAAGGAAAAGAAAGGAAGAATCAAGAAAGAAAGAAAGGAAGAAAGAAAGAAAGACAAAGAAAGAAAAGAAGCCAAAGTCGACTTGCCGGCGCACAGGCTTGATGAAGTCCACCGACTCTCCCTCACGCGACTGCATGGCCTGGCAAGAACATTCAGGATTCCTTCCAAGGATCCAGAAAGAATCAGAAAGCGCGCCGGCTTATTTTGCATCAAAGGCCGTCTCACGGTGATCTCCAAGCCGCAAGCTTGGCAAACTCCTGACCGAGCGGGAGATTGGAGAGTTGGGGCCCCAAAGTCAGCGCCTTCGTTCCAAAGGTAGACGTGAAGTCGTCGCTGAGCATCTGCTCGCGGCTGCAACACCTCGCCAAGTCGGCCTTGCATCCTTGCCTTTGAATGTTGCCTTTGCATATCCTTCCTATTGACCAACTTTGAGGTTCTGTGAGGCTGGCACGCTTTCCAGGCTCGCGCAGCTCCTGAAGGCTTCGGCAAACGATAGACCTCAAATTGGACTCAGCGCCTGCAGAGACATAGTGAGCGTTGAGCGCGGTGAGCGCGGTGAGCGCGGTGAGCGCGGTGAGCGCGGTGAGCGCGTGGAGCTGGCAAGTTCGAATGCCTGGACCGAGGCTCTCAAAGCTCTGGCCAGGGAATCAACGCTGGCAGTTTCAACTGCGTTGGCCTTTGGAGTGTGTCAACAACAAGTGCCTCTGCCGCTTTCACGGCCCAAGCCGTTTCGCCGTTTCGCACATTGCCTGAACTGATCTCACTATCTCAGGTTCAGCCGATTCTCGGGAAATCCGAAGGCTCCACGTGCCTTCTTTCCGGCTCAGGCAGCTTCAGTCAGACTGAATCCAGCTGAAGCATCCGCTTCGGCCTCTGTGTTGCGTGCATTGCAACTGAACTCCGACAGCTTCGGATTTGGATTTGGATCGTGTTTCAGTGTGGAAGCTGAGCCTTTCGAGCGGCTCGCTTCGCGCCCGGTTCTTTCCTTCTCTCTCCCTTTCTCTCCCTCTTTCGCTGCTTGCTTCTTTTTCTCTTCTTTCGAGTTGCTCTTGCTCGCTTTCGCTCTCTTCGTTCTTCTGCTCGCCGGAGCACTGTTCTTTCTCTTTTCTGACCTCTGCGAATAACTGAAAGCCTCTACCTGAATGTCCCAAACGCATCTTTCAAGACCTAGATTGACATGCAATTGGTCAACGCGCACTCCCACGCCCCACCTTGCCACCTTGCAAGCTTTCCACCGGCCTGCCAAGTTGCGTGCGCATTCAGCAGCTGTCATTTGACCCACCTCACAGCAGGTGGAGCAGCCATCCCACAGGCGCTGCCCATCGCATTTGTGAAACTTGCCGGACAGGGGATTTATGCACCCGGACAGGCTGCACCCAAGAAAAATGGCGCCGGCACTCTGGCTGTAACTTTGCAAAAGTCCAGCCTGTCGCAGCACAAGCAGTCTGGATGGTAGTGAGCGCCCTCAACGTTTGTGACCCTCGCTGAAAATGATAAAGCAAATGCTCGTGCAGGGTAGTTAGGTAGAGTAGTAAGCTTTTTGGAGCAGGTGGCGCATCGCTTGCGCTCACCGTTCATAGAATTGCCAAGTTCTATCTGAACTGCATCTTGCCACCTTCTCGTTAGCCCGGATTTTCTCCAATTGGTCTGCCTCTGGCCCTATGCTGCTTTTGCTTCGCTTGAGTCACGAGGCGGAACGGCGGAACGGCGGAACGGCGGAACGGCGGAGCCCGAAGTGGATCGAAGCGGATCGAAGCACTCGAAGCACTCGAAGTCGAGTAGCACTCGAAGTCGAGCGCCTTCACGAGCTCCGGGCTGCCAGGCTCAGTGCTGAGCTGAGAGAGGCCAGCGAACATCTTGGCCTAGATCCGGAGACGCAAGCCGTCGAATCTGCTCCCTTCTCAATGCTTATTGCTTGTTTCGCTTGTTTCGGGTTTAGTTTGTGCTTGTTTCTCCTTAAAGCTTCTTTGTGCCTATCGATGTGTCTTCAATCTTCTTACTGCTTCTTAATGTGTCTTGACGCTACTTATGTGTTTCGTGTTTATTGCGACTTCTCAATGCTTCTTGATAAGTTTGCGGGTCTCTTATTGCTTCTTACTACGTCTTTAGGTGTCCTGAAGGGTTCGTAATGCTGCTTGCTTCTCAATGCTTGTTAATTCGTCTTAAGTAACATTGAGGAGCATTCAGCATGAAGCAGCTTGGAAAGAAATGCGTTAAGAACAACTACGAAGTCTCAATGCTTCTTACTAGTTTGTAGAAGTCTGATTCTCTTGAATATGCTGGTCAATGTGTCTTGAAGCTCAATGCTTCTGAACGCGTCTTCGTGCTTCTCAACGTGTCTTAATGTGTGAATGCGCGTGCTTCTGAATGCGTCTTAATGCTTCTCAGTGCTTCTTAGTGCCTTTTGAATGCGCAACGAATGCTTCTTAAGACTTCTTAATGCTTCTCAATGCATCTTAATGTTTCGGAATGCTGGGTAATGCGGTCTATTGCTTTGAACTGCTGCGCAGTGCTTCTCACTGTTGTGTACAAAGCGTTCAGAGACTTAGAGGCACTAGGCAGCACTAAGAAACACTAAAAAGCATTACAGGGCGTTAAGAAGCAGTAGAAAGCATTTAGAAACATAAAGCAACACTAAGGAGCCCTAAGACGCATCAAGAAGCAATAGGAAGTAAGCATTCAGAAACGTAAAGACGCATTGAGAAGAACAGGAGCAATAAGCAAAGACTCAGAAGCATTATGAGATGTTGAGAAGCATGAAGAAGCAGCAAGAAGCACGAAGCACGAAAAAGCATTAAGAAACCTGAAGAAGCATGAAAACGCAACAAAACTCCACAAGAAGCAGACATGCATTAGAAGCAATAAGAAGCATTAAGGAACAAGAAGGAGCATTCCAGCAGTCAAAACATTCGAAAGCTTTAAGATTTCAGAAACGCTAAGAAGCTAAGAAGCGTAAAGAAGCACCAAAACTCAATCAAACAAAATGGGCAGCATTGAAGCAATAGAAGCATTGCAGTTATGCAGCAACATTACGAAACATCAAGAAGCAGAGAAAAGAATAAGGACGCATCGAGAGGCATTCAGGCGAATTCAACAAACACTTTAAAAGCATTAAGAAGCATCCAGAAGTAGGCTACACAGTAAGTAGCATCAAGGTACATTCAGAAGCATGAAGAAGCACTGTTATGAGGCATTAAGAGATAGTAAGAAACATAAAGAACCATGAAGCATCAAAAAAAATGAGAAAGCAGTAAGAAACTCACAATCATTCGGAAGCAACAAGAAGCTGTAAGAAGCATCAAGAAGCATCAAGAAGCATCAAGAAGCATTAAGAAGCATTAAGAAGCATTAAGAAGCATGAAGAAGCATGAAGAAGCATGAAGAAGCACTAAGGGCATGCAAAAGCATCAAGAAGCATGAAGACGCACTGGGAGGCATTCGGAAGCATTTGGAACTAATCGGACCCAGTCGGAAGCATGTAGAGCCTTCAGAAGAAACAAGAAGCATTCAGAAGCATTGACAAACAGTAGCAAGAATTACAGATTCATGAAGACGCCTTTAAAAACCAAAAAGCAAAAAGAAGCTTCCAAGTACTTCTCAACGCCCCTCAGGCTTCTTAATGCTTCCGAGTGCTTCTGCATGCGTCTTAAGGTTTGCAAAGCTTTTTCATTGGTCTTACCGCGTCTTGATGGTTCTGATGGCTTTTGAATGCCCTATACGCCTGTTTGTTCATGATCGTTGCCGCTTCGGGATGATTCTTAATGCTTCTTGATGCTTCTGATTGCTCCGAATGCTTCTTAACGCTTCTTACTGTTCTTCATGCTTCTTGATGCTTCTCAATGCTTCTGAATGCTGCTTAGTGCTCCTGAATGCTTTGCAAGCTTTCTGCTGCTTCTGAATGCTTTGAGATGCCCTAACTGCGTCTTAATGTTCCGGAGTGCGTCTTACCTCTTGCTAGGAGTCTTTGCGCATTGATGCTCTTACTGATAAGAAGCAGTTGCGCCATGTAGTCGCATGTAAACGCAATCAAGAAATCAAAAAGCGTTGAGAAGAAGTAAGGAGCAATAAGAAGCTTCAGAAATCTTCAATGGCATGGCATTCAGATGCATCAAGAAGCATGCAGACGCATTAAAGAATCATATTCAAGCATTGAATAGCATTCAGAAGCGGCAAGAGGCATCAGGACACATTGGAAGCATTCAGGGCATTCAGAAAGCTTCCTTAAGAGGCATTCAAAAGCATGCGGAAACCAAAAGAAGCATTAAGCGGCATTGAGAAGCATTAAGAAGCATGTAGAAGCATTTAGAAGCATTTAGAAGCATTGAGAAGCATTGAGAAGCATTGAGAAGCATTGAGAAGCATTGAGAAGCATTAACAAAGGTCTAGAAGCATTCAAAAAGCATTAAGGAGCAGAAGGCAGCATGTAGGGCAATCCAAAGCATTCAAAGCAATAAGAAGCAATAAGTGCAAGAAGCGCTAAGGAGCATTCAAAGGCGTTAAGAAGCAGAATCCCAGAAGAATAAAGAGGCAGTAAGAAGCGTCAAGCAGGATTCAGAAGCGGTAATAAGCAGAAAAGTTCAGAGGCAGTGAAAAGCGTTGTGGAGCATTCAGAAGCGTCAGCAAGAACAGGAATCAAGAGACAGCAAGCAGCGTTAAGAAAAATGAAGAAGCGTTAACAAGCAGAATTGAGAGGCACTAAGAGCGTCAAGGCGCATTGAGAAGCGTTGAGAAGTACAACAATTCAGAGGCAGTAAGAAGCGTCAAGGAGCATTAAGAAGCGTTGACAAGCAAAGGAATTAAGAGGCAGTAAGAAACGTTAAGGAGCATCAACAAGAGTTAAGAAGCAGAATAATTAAGAGGCAGTAGAAAGCGTCAAGGAGCATTAGGAAGCGGTAAGAAGCAGAAGAATTGAGAGGCAGTAAGAAGAGTTAAAAAGCAGAAGAATTTAAAGGCAGTAAGAAGCGTCAAGAAGCATTAAGAAGAGTCAAGAAGCAGAAGACTTGAGAGGGAGTAAGAAGCGTCAAGGTGCATTAAGAAGCGGTAAGAGGCAGAAAAATTGAGAGGCAGTAAGAGCAGTTAAGAAGCAGAAGAATTAAGAGGCAGTAAGAAGTGTCAAGGAGCATTAAGAAGCGGTAAAACGCAGAAGAATCAAGAGGCAGTAAGAAGCGTCAAGAAGCATTAAGAAGCGGTAAGAAGCAGAAGAATTGAGAGTCAGTAAGAAGCGTTAAGGAGCATTCAGAAGAAGTAAGAGGCAGTAAGAAGTGTCAAGAAGCATTAAGAAGCGGTAATAAGCAGAATTGTTGAGAGGCAGTAAGAAGCGTCAAGGAGCATTAAGAAGCGGTAAAAAGGGAATGGAGGGCAGTAAGAAGCCTCAAGAAGCATTAAGAAGTGGTGAAAAGCAAACGAATGAAGGGCAGTAAGAAGCGTCAAGGAGCATGAAGAAGCGCTAAGAAAAAGAAGAATCAAGAAGAACTAAGAAGTGTTAAGGAGTATGAAGAAGTGCTAAGAAAAAGAAGAAACATGAAGAACTAAGAAGCGTCAAGGAGCATGAAGAAGCGCTAAGAGAAAAAGAAGAATCAAGAAGAACTAAGAAGCGTCAAGGAGCATGAAGAAGCGCTAAGAAAAAGAGTCAAGAAGAACTAAGAAGCGTCAAGGAGCATGAAGAAGCGCTAAGAAAAAGAATCAAGAAGAACTAAGAAGCGTCAAGGAGCATGAAGAAGCGCTAAGAAAAAGAATCAAGAAGAACTAAGAAGCGTCAAGGAGCATGAAGAAGCGCTAAGAAAAAGAATCAAGAAGAACTAAGAAGCGTCAAGGAGCATGAAGAAGCGCTAAGAAAAAGAATCAAGAAGAGCTAAGAAGCGTCAAGGAGCATGAAGAAGCGCTAAGAAAAAGAATCAAGAAGAGCTAAGAAGCAGCGTCAAGGAGCATGAAGAAGCGCTAAGAAAAAGAAGAATCAAGAACAGCTAAGAAGCGTCAAGGAGCATGAAGCGCTAAGAAAAAGAAGAATCAAGAAGAGCTAAGAAGCGTCAAAAAGCATGAAGCGCTAAGAAAAAGAAGAATCAAGAAGAGCTAAGAAGCGTCAAAAAGCATGAAGAAGCGCTAAGAAAAAGAAGAATCAAGAAGAACTAAAAAGCGTCAAGGAGCATGAAGAAGCGCTAAGAAAAAGAATCAAGAAGAACTAAAAAGCGTCAAAAAGCATGAAGAAGCGCTAAGAAAAAGAAGAATCAAGAACAGCTAAGAAGCGTCAAGGAGCATGAAGAAGCGCTAAGAAAAATGAAGAAGCGTTAACAAGCAGAATTGAGAGGCACTAAGAGCGTCAAGGCGCATTGAGAAGCGTTGAGAAGTACAACAATTCAGAGGCAGTAAGAAGCGTCAAGGAGCATTAAGAAGCGTTGACAAGCAAAGGAATTAAGAGGCAGTAAGAAACGTTAAGGAGCATCAACAAGAGTTAAGAAGCAGAATAATTAAGAGGCAGTAGAAAGCGTCAAGGAGCATTAAGAAGCGGTAAGAAGCAGAAGAATTGAGAGGCAGTAAGAAGAGTTAAAAAGCAGAAGAATTTAAAGGCAGTAAGAAGCGTCAAGAAGCATTAAGAAGAGTCAAGAAGCAGAAGACTTGAGAGGGAGTAAGAAGCGTCAAGGTGCATTAAGAAGCGGTAAGAGGCAGAAAAATTGAGAGGCAGTAAGAGCAGTTAAGAAGCAGAAGAATTAAGAGGCAGTAAGAAGTGTCAAGGAGCATTAAGAAGCGGTAAAACGCAGAAGAATCAAGAGGCAGTAAGAAGCGTCAAGAAGCATTAAGAAAGGGTAAGAAGCAGAATAATTGAGAGTCAGTAAGAAGCGTTAAGGAGCATTCAGAAGAAGTAAGAGGCAGTAAGAAGTGTCAAGAAGCATTAAGAAGCGGTAATAAGCAGAATTGTTGAGAGGCAGTAAGAAGCGTCAAGGAGCATTAAGAAGCGGTAAAAAGGCAATGGAGGGCAGTAAGAAGCCTCAAGAAGCATTAAGAAGTGGTGAAAAGCAAACGAATGAAGGGCAGTAAGAAGCGTCAAGGAGCATGAAGAAGCGCTAAGAAAAAGAAGAATCAAGAAGAACTAAGAAGTGTTAAGGAGTATGAAGAAGTGCTAAGAAATAGAAGAAACATGAAGAACTAAGAAGCGTCAAGGAGCATGAAGAAGCGCTAAGAGAAAAAGAAGAATCAAGAAGAACTAAGAAGCGTCAAGGAGCATGAAGAAGCGCTAAGAAAAAGAGTCAAGAAGAACTAAGAAGCGTCAAGGAGCATGAAGAAGCGCTAAGAAAAAGAATCAAGAAGAACTAAGAAGCGTCAAGGAGCATGAAGAAGCGCTAAGAAATACAAGAATCAAGAAGAGCTAAGAAGCGTCAAGGAGCATGAAGAAGCGCTAAGAAAAAGAAGAATCAGGAAGCACAAAGAAGCGTCAAGGAGCATGAAGAAGCGCTAAGAAAAAGAAGAATCAAGAAGCACAAAGAAGCGTCAAGGAGCATGAAGAAGCGCTAAGAAAAGAAGAGTGAAGAAGAACTCAAAAGCGTCAAGGAGAATGAAGAAGCGCTAACAAAAAGAAGAATCAAGAAGAACTAAGAAGCGTCAAGAAGCATCAAGAAGCGCTAAGAAAAAGAATCAAGAAGAGCTAAGAAGCAGCATCAAGGAGCATGAAGAAGCGCTAAGAAAAAGAAGAATCAAGAACAGCTAAGAAGCGTGAAGGAGCATGAAGAAGCGCTAAGAAAAAGAAGAATCAAGAAGAACTAAGAAGCGTCAAGGAGCGTGAAGAAGCGCTAAGAAAAAGAAGAATCAAGAAGAACTAACAAGCGTCAAGGAGCATGAAGAAGCGCTAAGAGAAAAGAAGAATCAAAAAGAACTAAAAAGCGTCAAGGAGCATGAAGAAGCGCTAAGAAAAAGAATCAAGAAGAACTAAGAAGCATCAAGGAGCATGAAGGAGCGCTAAGAAAAAAGAAGAATCAAGAAGAACTAAAAAGCGTGAAGGAGCATGAAGAAGCGCTAAGAAAAAGAATCAAGAAGAACTAAGAAGCGTCAAGGAGCATGAAGAAGCGCTAAGAAAAAGAATCAAGAACTAAGAAGCGTCAAGAAGCAAGAAAAGAAGCGCTAAGAAAAAGAATCAAGAAGAACTAAGAAGCGTCAAGGAGCATGAAGAAGCGCTAAGAAAAAGAATCAAGAAGAACTAAGAAGCGTGAAGGAGCATGAAGAAGCGCTAAGAAAAAGAATCAAGAAGAACTAAGAAGCGTCAAGGAGCATGAAGAAGCGCTAAGAAAAAGAATCAAGAAGAACTAAGAAGCGTCAAGGAGCATGAAGAAGCGCTAAGAAAAAGAATCAAGAAGAACTAAGAAGCGTCAAGGAGCATGAAGAAGCGCTAAGAAAAAGAATCAAGAAGAACTAAGAAGCGTCAAGGAGCATGAAGAAGCGCTAAGAAAAAGAATCAAGAAGAACTAAGAAGCGTCAAGGAGCATGAAGAAGCGCTAAGAAAAAGAATCAAGAAGAACTAAGAAGCGTCAAGGAGCATGAAGAAGCGCTAAGAAAGAATCAAGAAGAACTAAGAAGCGTCAAGGAGCATGAAGAAGCGCTAAGAAAAAGAATCAAGAAGAACTAAGAAGCGTCAAGGAGCAAGAAGCTGCCCAAAGGAGCATGAAGAAGCGCTAAGAAAAAGAATCAAGCAGAACTAAGAAGCGTCAAGGAGCATGAAGAAGCGCTAAGAAAAAGAATCAAGAAGAACTAAGAAGCGTCAAGGAGCATGAAGAAGCGCTAAGAAAAAGAATCAAGCAGAACTAAGAAGCGTCAAGGAGCATGAAGAAGCGCTAAGAAAAAGAATCAAGAAGAACTAAGAAGCGTCAAGGAGCATGAAGAAGCGCTAAGAAAAAGAATCAAGAAGAACTAAGAAGCGCGCCGGGTTTGGGGAGCAAAAAAGCATTATCAAGGAAATTCACAGATCTTCGTGTTGGCTGATTTGTGCGGAGGCGACTTAAGCGCAAAGTCCGCGTTGGGGCGCTTGCCAGGTGCCGGCTCACTGCGGCGACATCTTTGGAGTTGCCGATCATCTCAAGCAAGTCCTGCAAACTTCGAAGATACCTTTGAGGACTTTAGCTTCAGCTTGTCCTCGTCGCCCACAAAGTAAAAGCGGGCAAATTGAGAGCGCTGCTTCTCCAAATAATCGCCTCCCATCGAAGCCCATCGAAGCCAATAAGGCACACATCTTACGCGATGCGGAAAAACACGTCGCCTAAAGCTTTCTGGACAGCCGTCAGCATGTCCGAGAGTCGATCCAGCTGCTTCTGCACACCTTCAATTGCCACGGCTTCGAGCACCTTGGACATGCAAAATTTACATGTGTGCAGTGCGATTTTGTGGCCTTGGGCTTCGCAGCAACCTTCTTCATCAGCCCGACAAACTCAGAGTCGATGGTCTTGAAGCCTTAATTTCATCTGTTCATCCCTTCAGTCGCTGGCGCCATCTGAGGCTGCAGCGAGCAAATTCATTTGGAAGCAGTTGCTGAATGTCCGCACTGCTTCCAAAAATTCCTTCCAAGTATACCCATCTTCGCTGCACGTCCATCCAGAGATCGAAAACGATGCGGATCTTGTTCAGCCTGTCCTGTCAACATCTCGGTACAGCCTCATTTGCCTGAATCATCTGAGCAGCGCCCAAACCCAATGAACCTCTAGTTATTCTATCGCACAGTGGCCTTACAGCAAGTTCCATCAAGCTCGGTACCGCCTGAAACCGCCAACAGCTTTGGGCGCGCATCTGGGGCCACCACATCCCACGTCGCACCCTCATCTTCAAAGGACTTGTAGTAGGGTGACATCTTCATGGACTGCACGCTCCTTGGACGGCTCAGCCCACTTTGTGTATGCCATGAAAATGGCCTTCGCCTTTAGCAAACAAATTCAGATGAAATGGGGCCAAACACCCGCCTGCGCGCCCAAGTTTTTGCTTCAAGGAACGCGTTTGTTGGCAAACACAAGAAGGGTGACACATTCCGAGACACGTAAGTCGCGAAGGCGACCAGCATTCTGCTTTCGTGATGAAAATTGGTGCTGTTTTGAAAGGGAACTCTGCAAAGGGGCGCTTTATGGCCCCAAGCGCGACGCCAGCCAATACCCTCTGCCTCTGCACAGTGCCAGAGACCTCAAAGTTTGACCGGGCGCCGCAACTCAAAGAGTTGGGACACGCAGAAGGTCGCACCCTTTCCCGGCCGATCTGACAAGCGCCAGGCAATCAGACACGAGACCCGCAAGCATTTCCACTGGACGGGCGGGGCGTAAGGCTTGCTTTGCAAGGGCAGGCCCTCTGCGCAGCTCGGGCAGCTGGAGCCAGTGCCTCCATCCGTCAGGCTTGGCTTCACGAACAAATAGCTCGGGCAAGCGCGCGCCATCTGATCTGCAAGAAGACTCTAAAGGTCATCTTTCGAGCATAGAGCTCAAGCTCGCAACTGCCAACTGGCAAACTCCTAAGCCCAGCAGTAAAGTGGGCCAGTCGGCCACGCATGACGACTGAAAGGCTCAAGGCGATGAGGTTGGCATGGCCCACCCCTACGAGACCCGCGGGTCAGATGCGCAGACCTGCATGGTGAGGGGCTGTCAGGGATGCTCGCGCACAGACCACACAGCTGCGTGACCATGTGCCAGCTGCATCCAGCTGCATCTTGTACGGGCTAAAATGAATACATGGAACCAGGAGGAGCGGGAGGAGCGGTACCCCTTCACGAAACTCAAGGGCCATTGTAGCACGACGACTCCAGCTCCACCAAGACACTCCTCGCGTATCCCAGAAATGCGAAGGGTTTTCCGGAGCGAGAACTGGCTACGAGCTCCACACTCCGCACACGGCAGAACCGAGCATGACAGAATAAATTTGGCTCAAGCACAGTGTGGGAAATGACGCCCATGCCTGCCAAACACAAGCATGCGATATGCCCAACTAATCAGCCGAGGTTCTGCAAGTGCTCATCCAGCTGGCTGAAGAGGTCATCCTGGAAGCGGAAACGATGCTGCTGTTTGGTTTGTGTGCGACTCGTGGAACAACTTGGCTTCTTGCCCACGAGCGGATGAGGCGGCACTTGCTCTTGTAAGGCACCAATTCCAAACTCGATCAACGCCAAAGATTACACACGGATTTCAGCACTGTGCAAGCAGCACAAAAATCGACGTGTCTAGGAGCTGCACTCATAGTTGCTCCACTTCTCCCTCACCTGGCCACGAGCGGGGTCGGCCGGCTTGACCGGGAACTCTCGCATCGACTTGCGCCTCTGCGAGGAACTGCTCGAGGCCCATCTCACCTTGAGCCCGGGCGAGGATCTCCTTGATGGCCGGCTGGTGCTTCTCGAGGTTTGAGTCCCACAAATGGCCCAGCCTGACCGAGAGAGACTCTCCGACTCGCTCCGACTCGCTCCGACTCGCTCCGACTCGCTCCGACTCGCTCCGACTCGCTCCGACTCGCTCCGACTCGCTCCGACTCTCGGGGCTCCGGGCGTGAGCTCGTTGAAGCCCACGGCAAGCTTCAGCATCTGCACCTCGCAGTCGGAGTTCGGAGTTCGGGCTAGAGTTCGTGCAGAGACATCTCGGGCACCCCTGCAATCTGCTTCCAGTGTCGCTCTTTCAAGGCGTCGGTCTTCAGCTCGGCCACAACCTGCAAGACAAGATTGGCCAAGAGGCCAAGAGGCCAAGAAGCGACAAAAAGGTGGAAAGGTGAAAAGGGCAAAGCTCATTGGCCTGGTTCAACTTGATGTGCCCTTGCAGCTGCTCTTGTATATGGTCAAAGGCCTGAAAAGTAGAGTCGAGGAACACGCTTGAGGATCAACCATCCACCTCGTATTGCTGCAGTCGCCGATCCATCTGCTTCATGTTTGACAGCAAGTCCTCGCAGGCATGCCGCGGTGGCAGGTCTTGCGGCCAAGTGACTCAAGCGACTGCCAAGCCATGCCAAGCCTGTTCTTGCCCCCAGTTGACAAGAAAATAGCCAGTCTCTCGGAGCTCAGGGCAGAACAGAATATTCGAGCGCTAGCGTATTTCATTGCGCGTGAAAAGATATTGAAGCACATTGCTCGCGGCTCTTGCCAGCGGTCCCACCTCCAGTGCATTCTTGATGCGCTTGGGCTCCACTGCAGTCCAGAGCGTCTCCTTCACAAGTTGAAATCGATTCAACGAATCGCCACAAGGATTCCGACGCTCACCATAGTGCCTTGTAGAAACGGCTAAGATTGCCAAAGCAGCAACCCCAGCCCAACTGTGGGGGGAAATTTGTGGGAAAGCAGATGTCACGCGCCAAGCGCAGGAACAGTCCGTCCTTGAGCGTCTCCACGCGGCTGTGCACGGTGTTAATTTCAGCCCTTGGAACGAGTTTGTTCATTTGTTGACCCTTGCAGCACACTGTATATCTTCTGAGAAACCAGCCAAACGTCCTTGAGGTTTTCCATCTCCTACGTCGCAGCATATATCTCACAGCAACAGAATGGCTTGGCTTCAGCAATCACAACTTGCTATGTCGAAGACATCTCCTCCTGCAACGGTGCAAGTGCTTCAACATCGCCAACCTCAGGCAACAAGTTCGACGCATCTAATCACCCAAAAGGTGCAACGTTTAAAAATGAGACATCGAGTCTCACGTCTCACGTCCATGGGAAACATTAAACATTGCTTGAACACTTGTCCCCCAGCCTCCATCTGCAGAGACTTTTTAAGCTGCAGCAGCTGGCTGTGCTGCTCCCGAAGCATCTGCAGACGCTCCTTGGATCTGTACTGAATTGGGCCTTGCCGTTCTGGGGCAAGACCGTCAACCGCAATCTGCCAGCACAAGCGGCTTCCTGCTTTGCTCAACGCAGAGACACCCAACTTGCGGGAAAAAACGAAAAAACAACTGAAATCAGGACATTTGGCCCGTTTCCTGCAACGAGTATGGATCGAGGCAGACGCTTCTAATCTGTAGTATTGTTTGTTTTACCAATGAAAACGACCAGTCAGCGGGATGACGGCAGCGAAACAAAAGGCTTAGCTGTTTACCTGTTGGGAAAGCGTTATAAAATTCCAGAGCTAGGAACAAGGGTTCCGTGCTGACAAGGGTTTGCTTCTTGGGTGGAAACTAACCTTTTCGTCCCTGGGAGAGGGGAAAGGCACTGAAACAACCACTCCGAAAGATGATAGTTATAGAAGCTATCGGTTGCAGGGTCGTAAATCAGCTTTGGTCGGGCAAGCTGGCTTGTTGGTTGCTGTTGCGGCAATAACATCACCATGGGGAGCGTGGCATCACCAACACCCTGAGCATCACCAGCAAGCGGCTTGTGCATTTTAAGGGCACTTGTCCGCTGCCAGGATGCAATGCACCTCTCAATTCTTCCATTGGCGTCCTTTGCGTGTTGATCGCGGAGGAGAGCGCCCAAGCCAATTGTCAGCGGTTCCGGAAAGTGTTAGAAAGATGCTCTTGTCTGGGGATTTTTTCTCTGTCGGAAGTCCATCCTAGGGCCCGTCGTTTAGGGTTGGTTTTTGGGTTCGTAAAGGTGTGTGTAAGATGGAAGGTGGGCTTTGAGGGGATTAAGGTTGGCAGAGTTAGGTTTCCAGGGTGGGCGGTGGGTTTAGGGTGGTTTTAAGGTCGCTTTAAGATTGGCTTGGGATGGGTGGGAATGGATGGCGGGCTTAGGATTGGTTGCAAGTTGATTCTGAGGGCTTTGGGTGAGACAAGGGTTGGTTGGGTAGGATCAGAGTGGTTTTAAGGGTGGGTTCAGGGTGGGGGGTTGGTCGGTTTAAGGCGTGTTTAGGGCGGGTTGATGGCTTAAGATGGGTTTAGGCTTGGCTTGGGAAAGTTATAGCTAATTTAAGGTTTGAAGTTGGCTTCAGGGCGAGGGGTGGCTTCAGGATTGGCTTCGGGTGGGTTTTGGGTAGGCTCTATTTTGAACTCTAGATTGCATAGGCTCTATTGACAGTGGGACGTGACACTTGCAAACAATGATATACCCCAACACAACATGGTCGCGCAGAAGTCACATCATACTGCTGGCATCATCATAATACCCGCTTTGCTGCAGGTGGGCAAGAAGCAGCGCAGGACTTGGGACGAGCTGCCGGTGGCTTTTCAGCTTTGCTGCAAAGCTGAGACGTTGCTCAACAAAAGATCGTGAATCTTGGTGGGGCCGGGAAGACGTCACAGCGCGTGGGCTACACCTTACAGCTGAAAACTTGAGACTCGAGGGGGAACTGATTCTGGTCTCAAACGGTGTGCCTATCCACACCACACAAACGATATCCCCAAGTACGGAAGCCAATCAGCTCGATTGTGGTCATCTGTCGTTGTTCCTGTCTGCGCGTGTTCCTGTCTGCGCGTGTTTGTGTGAAGCGTCAGTCATGTGACGCGTAGCGTGTTTTAGCATGTTTACACATAGGGCCAACTTGGCTCAAGTCAGGCTTACAACAGTGCGTGGTACTAGGTCGAACGAAGTGCGAACAAGGGACCAGTTCCGCTGGCAATCGTATATCGCTGACGCTTGTTGTTCCCGACAAACACTCGCCGCACGCTGGAATCCCAGCAGTTCCGAAAGTCACTAAATCACACTAACTAGCAAATTGTGATAGTCACTTGTAAATGGGTGCGGATTTATTTTATGAGTTTTTTCGTTTTTTTTTTTTTTTAGATTCTTTTTCGTTTTTCGTCCAGGCCAGTAAAATGTCTGCATTTTCTCGCGAAATTTGCGCATTTTACACAAGCCCGTCAACATCCCCAGCATCGTTTTCAACATCCCCCGCATGTCCGACCAACATCCCTAGCATCACCAACAAATCGTGGGTAACAAAATCAAAAATCAAAAAGGAGCATTTCAATCCCTGTAAAAAAAACACTACAAAGTAGCGGGGGGGTTGGGGGGGCGGCCCCGTTCGCAGAAGTGATGATTTGAACAGGGGTGCAATTAATCTCTGCAACAAAAGTAGCGGGGTTAAGGTGCCCCCCCATGATGTTCAAGAATTATGATCCAACTGATGGTGCAATTAAAAATCTGTAGAAAAATCCAAAACGTAGGGGGTTAGGGCGGCAGCCCCCCCATGATGTCGGAAGAAGTGATGATTCAAGGGGGTGCAATGATTCAAGAAAGGGTGCGATAGAATTTAAAAGGCAGCGGGAAGGTTGGAGGGGGTGGCTTCCCCTATGATGTTCGCAAGAAGTACATACATACAGACATACATTATTACACAGAATGCATAAAATGTTGTATTTTGCAGCATTTTCTCGCGAAATTGGACGCTTGAAAAGTGATGATTGAACTAGGGGTGCAATTCAATCTCTGCAACATAAATCCCCAAAGAAGCGGGGGGGAGGCGGCAGCCCCCACCCCATGATGTTTGAAGAAGTGTTGATTCAAATAGGGGGTGCAATTACTCTGCAAGCAATCTAAACAGTAGCGGGTAGTTTGCGGGGGGCCTTCCCCCCCTATGATGTTTGAAGTGATGATTCAAATAGGGAGGAACTGGTGATGCTGATGATGCGGGAAGCCACATCCCGGACAGGAGGATGCAAAAAGCTAAAACCGCCAAAAGCAGCATAAACCAGCGAAAAGCCACAAAAGACAAAGAGGAACTGGGAATGCAAAGGATGCGAAGGGCAGAAGCTGAGAAGCCAAAAAGCCAAGAAGCCAAGAAGCCAAGAAGGCAAAAGCCAAGAAGCCAAAAAGCCAAGAAGCCAAGAAGCCAAAAGCCAAGAAGCCAAAAAGCCAAGAAGCCAACGAAAAAAGATCCCAAAAAAAACGACCCCTCCCTTGTAAATTGCAGCCCACCGCTACAAACGCCCAATCGCCAAGCTCCCAAACGCGCTTGGCCGGTTAGGCCCCTGGCATCGAAGTCCTTGATGACTTTCATGGCATCTGTCGGCTTGAGGCTGCCCTGAACTGGCTTCTGGCTGGACCTAAGCATCGAACTCCGCCGACAAGGCCATTCCGCGATCAAAGAGCCAGGCCATTCCGCGTACAGCTGCGTGATGTTCTCTTCAAGTTGCTTGTCTTTCTGCACCAAGACCGATCGCAGCTTTGGCAGCTCGTGCTCCAAGATCTTAGCTTGTCAATGTAAAACAAGCACTCAGCTAGCAACGCAGGTCCGCATTGGTGTGTGGGTGTGAGACTTAGAGTTTTTGCACCCAGCGTGACTCTAGGGACTGAGTTGCCTGCCCGGTTCCTCCGTGCCAAGATTTGCTCGAAAGCCTGAACATTGAGTGGTTTCTAGGAAGCGCGTCCTGTTCCCAAGTATTCCCTCACCTCCCATTCGCCCTCCACTTGCTCAATGTGCATCCAGTCCTGGGCAAAACGACCGGCCAGCGAACCCTCACGACCCAGCCAGCCTCTGGAAACTGAAAGCGCTGCTTTACGAGCAGCTTCTGCGCCTGCGTAAACTCCAGCGCGACAGGCTGAAGCCCCCAAGATGTCACACGCAAAAGCCGGGTTCCTTCTGCAATTCTTCGAACCGATGTCCCCACTTCTCGGCACTTGTTTTGACCTGCGCCACTCAACATGCGAAGGGGAGGCAGGAGCAACTGGGGGCGCCTTGAGAACTGCCATGCAAACAACCTCGCAAGCGACAGCAAACCACACGAAGCACACAAAGCGCACAGTCGAGAGCGCTCAAGTCGAACAGCGTAAATCAGGCCGAAGCAGTCAAATCCCCGCTGCTGTCCACGGCTTCCAATCGCTCTCGGCCCTGATCATCCCAGTGACACGGAACTAAGGACACGGAAGCAACGCAAGCAACAATTCACTAGGTTGCACCAACAATTCTGAGAAACCAAGGGGCTTCTTTGTTACCCCGACAACACTGGTTGCGTTGCCCCTCGGGGAGGGCGCGATAGCTTGAATATCCTCAAACAAGCGCCCTGCCCGCAAGCTCGATCTTTTATCCTTGCTGTAGCTATCCACACCGGTTGTCGTGAAAAGATACATGCGTTGCTTGAGCCAAATGTCCACGATGGTTGTATCTAGCATGATGATGGGCCCTGTTCTACTCACACCCCCCACGCAGTATGCCTCAGTATGAGCCATCTGCGCAGAGGTAGTTGTGGAAACTATTTCCATTGTGGGACCATCATATCGCAACCCATCAACTTGCCGACTCAACAAAATTTTTTGGCTTGCAGCATTTCATGTCGTGAGGCATTCAAAATTCACGCACTGGGTACTAACGCTCCGTCAAACGGTAGCGCTTTCCCCGTAAAAGCGCCCAAATCTCGGAAAGGGTATTTGTAATGGAAATGCGCGAAGAGTTGGGCGACACCGCATTATCATCTTCACATGAAGACATAATACCTTGGCGGCCCTCGTGTCCCAGAGCAAACACATCGGCACTGCCTACCCGGTTGTCGGTGCAGAAGCGGCCGGTCTACACCTTAGCCATGGACTTTCGGAGAGTAATTTTAATGCCCTATGTGAAAGGTGAGTATAACGAGGATCCCTTATGCCAGGTCGACCAGAGCAAAATGTTGCCGCTTGTCCGGCTTTGACGTTGGAATATGGCTTGTAGACATGGAACGGAATAGGAAGTGCATGATACATTGTGCGCATTGGTACTCTCGGTCCGACAAGCAACGAGCCCTGCGCTTTTGCGCCAAATAATATAGGCTGATAAACCCCGCTCACCAGCGCTCGTTAACCCGACCAACGCGCGTCACGTACGTCAGTGCGATCACGCACTTCCCACCGTTAGAAGTGTGGGCCTTGGCTTCCTTGCTTTTCCCTTTTCCCTTTTGCTTCCCCTTGTCGCTCGGCATTGCGTGGAGCCGGGCTGGTGGACCGGAGTGCCCGACCGTTCACCCGTCTTCCTTCGCTCTGCCATCCCCTCTCTGGCTGTTCGGGGTTTCGGCCGCCACGAATTTGTTCTTCTTCTTTTGCTTCTTGCCGAAATTCGGCGGAGTTGCGGCCTCCCCATCTGCCAATTAGTAGGATCCGGGACTGAATGGTCAGTCCCTGAGATTTCAGCCTGTTGTAATTCTCCCGTGGCGCACGACGAATAGGACTGAAATGCATCCCGTGGTAGTTCATCAATAACAAGTCTTGGGTGGCATGTGCACGGCGAGTCGAACGGGATAAGCTTGCCACCCTTCATCCTTCAATGTTGGATTGGAAGAAGAAATAGGTGTCGACGTTAAAACTGGTTCCGATGGCAATGTTGAAAACCTCGAACATTTTGTCCAACGCGTTGTTCCTCGCAGCACGCAATTCGGGACTTTTGTACGTCTGAATGGCGTCATCCTTCAACTCCTTGAGATCCTTCCAAAGATCATCTGTTTCAAACATGTTCAGAAGGTTCAGGTAGAGTTCTAGGCAGAACAGTCCCATCAACCGGATGACGCCTTTCATCTCGACGTACTCCTCGATCGTCGTGCGGCGGTATGTGCGCGGAAGGTCTTTGCTCTTGAAACCATCTCGGGACTCAACCCAATGCTCCTTCCATTGTTCGAGAGTGATTGACACAGGCCGGAAAAACTGATCGGCTGGCAAGAATTTAGGAACATGTGTCCAAAAAGTACTTCTGTTCCCTTCCCTCCTTGTCGCCCGTCTCGTTTTTCGGCCCTTAGTATCGAACGGGCGTCATGACCCAGGGCTCGGATAACGTAATAGCACCCCTTGGTGTATTCCGCGAATTCCTCGTCAATCGGCCACACATCTGGTAAACGAAGCGGGTGTGGTTGTACGTCGCGCACACGCAACCGGAGTATATAATCCATAGCAGCAATTGAAGATCCAGTCAAGCTCCGCTTCGCCCAGCCTGTTTTCGTGTCCAAACCGGTCTCGGTCTGCCGGCTCCACCCTCCAACAGATTGTCGTAGGATGGATAACCTTCATTTTCCTTTCTTTCCCTTCTTTCCTTTGCCTTTTCCCCAATATGCCTGGTCGTAGGGATCCTGATATTCATTGGCCACATTGGCCTTCCCGCCAGAGCTACCTTTTCAAAAAAGCCACCTCGTTGGTGACTGCCCTTCTTGCTTGTTGATTCTCCTTTTCCTTTCCTCTTCTTGAATCTGAAATTCCGCCCAGACACCTTTCTTGCCATGAACGCATCGTTCTCCTCCAGTACCCAAAATGTCTCTTCATCGTTGGTTGACATGAAACCTTCCAGTCCTTCTTCGTCTTCCACCCAGAATGATGTAGAAGGTATTGTTCCGATTTCCTCCGGGGGGTCGGATGGATCTTGGATGGAAGTTCTGGTCGTGATGAAGAGGTCGTGACTGCGTTTTCATCATCTCATAGGTGTAGTTCTCAAGCGAGATGTTTCTCAATGACAATTCACTCTGGATTATGAAAAATTGATGCAATGAGGTTGTCGCTGAGGGGAAATGCGTCCCTGTGCCTTGTCTGCACGCCGGTGATGTACTGCCTGAGTACTTCTGGATTGTCGATTTGCAGCAGATCTGGAGGCGGTGCTCGTGTACCAGCTGCTTGCTGGCGCGGCAATTCTTCTTGCATTGGCATCTTGTACGGATGCTATGAACTCTGGTGACTGCGCCCTATGTGTGGGCATCAAGTCCATCCAGGCTGCCTTCAATCTCATCAAGAGAATCTCAAATTTTGATGTGAATATGAGGAACTCGGTGTTCTGCCTTCTGTGATTGAAGAAACTGAGAAGTCTGTATAAGTACACGTTGGTCGACCCTTTCAGGAAGAACTTCTTCAGCGTGTTCTTGAAATAGTTGACTCCTTCGTCAGGATCTTGCAAGAGGTCATTCTGGAGGACTGCCTTGGATGCCTCGATGGTGGTGAAGGTCACCCGGTCATCTACAAGTTCTCCATATCGAAACCAGCTGACTTTTCCGTCGTACGACGGCGGCTGCTTGGCGGTCATCGATAAGTTGAGCGTCTCTTCAGTGTAGCCGGACGATCGGCCAACACTTGAATAGGCTTCCATGAAGCCTTCTCATGACATTGTGTATGGATTTCTTCAGAAAACCCGCTCTCCAATTGAGACCCACTGCCTGTTTACACCGTATCCCAGAATTTAACATGTGCCTTTTGGTAGTGGAGAATGTATGTGCGGTCCCTGGATCTATTCTGCAAGACAGTCCAATATGCCAATAGTGGAGGAACTGAGAATGGATGTCCCTGGTCCTATCTGTAGTTTATTCCCGTAAGGCGCTCTGCTGGACTCCTTCTGTAACGGCTGCAGAATGAGTACTGCGTTGCCTGTGATACGAGAGGGGCCTTGAGCCAACATGACAATGGTTGTTGCAGGGTCAACATGCGAAGCAAAAGCAACACAGGGGGTGGAGGGGGGGTGTGTGGGTGTGTGTGTGTGGGGGTGTGTGTGGGTGTGTGTGTGGGTGTGTGTGGGTGTGTGTGTGGGTGTGTGTGTGGGCGTGTGTGTGTGGGGGGGTGTGTGTGTGGGTGTGTGTGTGTGTGGGTGTGGGTGTGTGTGTGGGTGTGTCTGGGTGTGTGTGGGTGTGTGTGGGTGTGGGTGTGTGGGGGTGTGTGTGTGTGTCTGTGTGTGTCTGTGTGTGAGTGTCTGTGTGTGTCTGTGTGTGTGTGTGTCTGTGTGTGTGTGTCTCTGTGTGTGTCTGTGTGTGTGTCTGTGTGTGTCTGTGTGTGTGTCTGTGTGTGTGTGTCTGTGTGTGTGTGTCTGTGTGTGTGTCTGTGTGTGTGTCTGTGTGTGTGTCTGTGTGTGTGTGTGTGTGTGTCTGTGTGTGTGTCTGTGTGTGTGTCTGTGTGTGTGTCTGTGTGTGTGTCTGTGTGTGTGTCTGTGTGTGTGTCTGTGTGTGTGTCTGTGTGTGTGTCTGTCTGTGTGTGTGTCTCTGTGTGTCTCTGTGTGTCTCTGTGTGTCTCTGTGTGTCTCTGTGTGTCTCTGTGTGTCTCTGTGTGTCTCTGTGTGTCCTGTGTGTCTCTGTGTGTCTCTGTGTGTCTCTGTGTGGCTCTGTGTGTCTGTGTCTCTGTGTGTCTCTGTGTGTCTCTGTGTGTCTCTGTGTCTCTGTCTCTGTGTGTCTCTGTGTGTGTCTCTGTGTGTCTCTGTGTGTGTCTCTGTGTGTGTCTCTGTGTGTCTCTGTGTGTCTCTGTGTGTCTCTGTGTGTCTCTGTGTGTCTCTGTGTGTGTCTCTGTGTGTCTCTGTGTGTCTCTGTGTGTCTCTGTGTGTGTCTCTGTGTGTGTCTCTGTGTGTGTCTCTGTGTGTCTCTGTGTGTCTCTGTGTGTCTCTGTGTGTCTCTGTGTGTCTCTGTGTGTCTCTGTGTGTCTCTGTGTGTCTCTGTGTCTCTGGTCTCTGTGTGTCTCTGTGTGTCTCTGTGTGTCTCTGTGTGTCTCTGTGTGTCTCTGTGTGTCTCTGTGTGTCTCTGTGTGTCTCTGTGTGTCTCTGTGTGTCTCTGTGTGTCTCTGTGTGTCTCTGTGTGTCTTGTGTGTCTCTGTGTGTCTCTGTGTGTCTCTGTGTGTCTCTGTGTGTCTCTGTGTGTCTCTGTGTGTCTCTGTGTGTCTCTGTGTGTCTCTGTGTGTCTCTGTGTGTCTCTGTGTGTCTATGTGTGTCTCTGTGTGTCTCTGTGTGTCTCTGTGTGTCTCTGTGTGTCTCTGTGTGTCTCTGTGTGTCTCTGTGTGTCTCTGTGTGTCTCTGTGTGTCTCTGTGTGTCTCTGTGTGTCTCTGTGTGTCTCTGTGTGTCTCTGTGTGTCTCTGTGTGTCTCTTTGTGTCTCTGTGTGTCTCTGTGTGTCTCTGTGTCTCTCTGTGTCTCTCTGTG